AGGATATTTTGTATAGACTATTGGATTTTTTAGTATTTTTTTAATGGTAAAAAGTCTGGATTATTTTTTTGGGGAAAAGGTCTACACCTACCTATGAGATGTATTATTAGTGATACACCAGTGAAAAGAATAGTTTGGTACATACAAAATGCCAATTTCACGGTTTCAAAATAATCCACAAATTCTGGAGGTCTTGCTCAAACTGTCTGTACTAAAATAATCTCTAGAAACGTGTCCATAGCTTTATCAAAAGAGAATGTTAACATAGTGTGAAAAGTTGTAATATTATAATTCCAAAAGGGATAGTCATCCTGAAAGTGAGTTTTATTTAAGGCAAACCTAAAGAAAATGTGTTTGTGTAGCGTGCCATCTTCATTTAGTTTTATACTACAGCATAAATTTCTATGTACACATCTGGATTAAACTATAAATGTTACCTTCGTTACGAGAAGTTATTCAAATAGACCTTGTGTCAGGGATTGCGGGAGGTAGGACTCAGACGCAGAGTTCAAAAACAAAAGGGACTTTTAATAGTCAAAAGCAAAAACAAAAAGCCAAGGGGAAAAAACACACAGGAACCTGGGGAAAAACGGGAGACAGAAACTACGAACGTCCACGACGAAAGACAAGGACGTGCGTGGCCAAAGACAATGAAGCGACAAGTGACAACAGACACACGGCTTAAATACACTAGGGAGGTGCAGGTGATTGGACACAGGTGGAACCTATTAGACGATCACAGGGGATGACGGGACAAGGCAGGAAGTGAAGTTACCCGGGGACACGAGTGGCAGAAAACTACAAAATACAACAGGAAGTGAACCACACCGTGACACCTTGTGGCTGCAGGGATTTACTCTTTTGTCATTGGTATCCAATTTTCAAGCGGGGTCTTTTTACATAACATGCACATTAAACAAAATAGTCAGTGTAAAGATTTTAAACATAAAGTAAATAGTCACAAAATATAGCAGAGTACCCACAAGACAAATCAAATATAAAAGTATTCTCCCTCTCTCAAGCCGATCCTCGCCTCTCAATTTATCAAACTATTTTTGTAAAAGAACAGTGCGGAAGACTTATGTTTACTGTTCCAGACTCTGCCGTAACGGTTTCAACTCCAGACCTTTAAATCTGTGAGGACCAATTATTTTATAAAGTCTGACTTGACGCTGGTATAAAATCATTTAACAGGACATTTATTAAAATACTTGCAAATAGGAGCAGAGTTGAAACATGTACAACAAGTTGCTGCTCAAAGATCTGCGGCTCGTCCTCTAAATTATGCAGCGTTAGTTAAGTTGACACACACATAGGTTATGCATCAAGGCTTCTTGACGCTCTGCATCCTAGTCTAGTTCAGGCATTACACAAAAGTTATATACGTCAAGGCCTTTCTGCTGAGAAGTAACAGTTTCTTTGGCGTTCGAAAGTATTGTTGCTTGAACTATTGTGACTAAGACAAAAACATTATTTTAGGTTTTTTCTACAGATATTCTTCAAATATGAAGAAACATATGAGCGTTCACACAGGTGAAAAACCATTCAGCTGTCCAGACTGTGGTAAACGTTTCGCCCACAGTGGAAATCTGAAGAGACACATGACATGTCACACAAGTGGGAAACCGTTGAGCTGCTCAAAGTCTGATGAACGTTTCATTGAAACGGGAAAGCTGAAGCAACATATGGGATTTCACACAGGAGAGAAACCATTCTGTTTCTCGGAGTGTAGTAAATGTTTCACTGTAAGTAGAAATCTGAAGAAACCTATGAAAATTCACACAGGAGAGAAACCATTCAGCTGCTCAGAGTGTGGTGAACGTTTCACTGGAAGTATGAGTCTGAAGAGACACATGCTATGGCACAGAGAGGAGAAACCCATTAGCTGCTCGCAGTGTAGGAGATGTTTCTCTGATAATGCAAGAATGAAGAAACATATGAGCATTCACGCAGGAAAGAAACCTTTAAGCTGTTGAGAGTGTGGTAGATGTTTCTCCCGCAATGACTCTCTAAAGAGACATATGACTGGTCACACAAGTGAGAAACCTTTTATCTGCTGTGTGATAAAGTGTGATAGATGTTTCAGTCGAATTGGAGGTCTGAAAAGACGCATGACATGTCACGTCACACAAATCAGAAACCTTTCAACTGCTCAAAGTGTGATGAATCTTTCAGTCAAAGTGAAGGTCTGAGGAGACACATGATATGTCACACAGGTGAGAAACCTTTTTGCTGCTCTCAGTGTGCACAATGGTTCAGTAAAAGGGGAAAGCTGAAGCAACATATGAGATTTCACACAGGAGAGAGACCATTCTGCTGCTCAGAGTGTGGTAAATCTTTCATTCTAAGTGGAGGTCTGAAGAAACATGAAACTTCACACAGGTGAAAAACCTTTCAGTTGCTCAGAGTGTGGTAAGTCTTTCACTGAAAGTGGAACTATGAAGAAACAGACTTCACACAGGAGAGGAACCATTCTGCTGCTCACTGTGGTCAACATTTCCCTTACAATAGAAGTCTGAAGAGACACATGCTATGTCATACAGTGGAGAAACCTTTTAGCTGCACACAGGGTGGGGTGTTTCACTGATAATGAAAATGAAAATGAAAAAGAAACACATGAGACTTCTCAATAGGGCTGCAACAACCACTGAATGAAATCGAGAAATCAATTATTATAAGTGTTGGCAACGAATTCCATTATCGATTCGTTGTGTCGCGCGATTATTACGTCACTCACTGGGTTGCCGAGATGCGTGCGGAGCAAAAATAAAAAAGAGCCAAGCCGACACAGGAAAGAGCAGCCAGCAGCGCCGACAACTGGTGTGAGTTACGAGACGCCGGCAGAGACGCCTGTTTGACTTAAGTCGTCCACGGTTGGCGAGCATTTCACACTAAATAAACTAAGAAAGTGTCAATGGCAAAATATGCAAAGTCAACGTAATGGCACGTAGCACCACGTTTTGACGTGAGGACCATAAGGAGCATCCAGCAGGCAGCAACGTAGCGTTAGCTCGCCAATAACAGCAGTAAAGCAGTTAGCAAGACTAAGACACGTTTTAATTTACTCGCCTTAATGCACTTTCAATTTCTTGTCTTGTATTTCGTGCTTTGTCCCATTTTGGTTACTGTTGACAAATATATTGTACTGTATGTGTTCGTACTTTTTAATGCTGTGATATACGGTAGTCTAGTGCCCTTCCACATATACTGGTTATACAGTAGTTAATGTTATGCCCGTAAAGGGAGACACACGGTGATCCATTAAACCCGCGTGGCTAACTAAGAAGCCTCTAATGCAGTTATTTACAAATGCCATTTTAAATTCATCTCATAACACTTAGAATAATTTAATGAATAAGCTTCAAGTGAACGTGTGTGTGTCTGAGTGTGAGAGTTTGTGACTGTGTGTGTCTGAGTGTGAGAGTTTGTGACTGTGTGTGTCTGAGTGTAGTATAGAGAACAAGTTCTGACGTTAAAGCAAATCCTGTTACATTTTATGATTTGTATGTCTTTATTTTTTAATAAATTATGTTCAAGTAGCAACCTGTACATTCTGAACGATTTTTGCGATGTGAATTTGCAGTTCTGTTTTAGAATAAAGGGTTGGAAATTAAAGCTTTTTTATCCAATTCATCGATTAACCAAAGAAATAATCAACCGATTATCAAAATAATCGTTAGTTGCAGCCCTACTTCTCACATGTTCAGAGTGTGGTAAATGCTTCACTCAGAGTGGAAGTTTGAAGACACACGAGACTTCACACAGGAGAAAAACCTTTCAGCTGCTTAGTTTGTAAGATGTTTTACTCAAAGAGATCAATTATGGAGACACATGTCAACTCTCAAAGAGAAATGCTTTAGCGTCTCAGCGTGTGTAAATGTGTCTTAAGTGGAAGTCTAAGCAGACACAGGACATATCTGACAGGAACTATACATTGTTATAATCTCATCAATATAGTATTGTTTCTTGCTTCATATGCACACATACGTGTTTAACCACCGAATGTTGAGGTTATGTCTTACTTTTTTCTTTCCTACATAAGATATTGTGGGCGCCCGACCTCGCGGGGTAGGCCCAGGGGTCCCAGGGGAGGAGAGAGGCGGACGACAAGCAGGGTCACGGTGAAGTTAACAAAGGTTTATTATCAATAATTCAACCGGGAGAGGGGAAAAGGGAGAGGAAAAACAATAACTCAGAAAGCTCTTCACCGGGGTGGCCAGGGACACCGGGAGGCTTCGCCAGATTCCTCCTGGCGCAGAAGAGAGAGAATGGATTTCGTTAGAACCGTCTCGTTTGCGGGACATCCCCGGGGTCTCACCCTCCTCTCGTTCCTGCTGTCGCGCTCGCTTTCTCCTCGGTGTCTCCTGGGAGGAAGACTTAAAACAGGCTCCTGATTGCCTGCGCGATTACCGACACCTGGGAGGGGGACTCAGTGACACCTGGGGTAGGACCGCCCTTCCACTACCATGCCTCTTGGTGGCCCTCTCCTGGCTGTTTCTCGCCACGTGGGGCACTGCTCACCGGCTGGGCCATCACAATATACACATCCTTGGGTTATTTCAATCTCCCTTAGATTGCATCTTTGAGGGTCAAGAAGCATCCTGTCCGTTTCTTCCTTTTCACGGACTGCTATTGTTACTTATCCTGCGGTCTTCCTTTTTGTCTTATGGTACTCACCTTGTAATGTGAATGATGTAGCAGGGTGTAAACCTCCTTTAAACAACCGGTAACTTGAATGCTTGCGTAAATTAAAAGCATTAACGGAAGCTAAAATGTCACATGGATTACTTTTTTATGTGTCTAAAGTATAAAATTACAGGTCATTTAGCTGACGCTTTTATCCATAGCGACTTACATTACATTTTTAACCCGTGGCTTTTTACATTTTGCCCGGGGAGCAATTAGGGGTTAGGTGTCTTGCTCAGGGACACTTCGACATGGGGCAGCCTGGACTCGAACCACCTGTAGCGGCCCCTCGGATTGATTGATCAAGACGCAGAGAGTTTCAAACGGGTGTTGATTTATTTTGTTTCTCTCGACGAGCACCAGAAGCACCATGACGTCGTGAACAATTTGAACATCGTGAACACTACAGAATGAAACAGAAGAAATACACAATGCTTCTATGTAGTTTCAACAATTAACTTATACAAAATAATGTTTACACTCGATACAAATCATTTGAAATACTAGCCAAAGTGAAATGAAATATGTTTAAAACGCTATGACAAATAAAACATCACATGCATCCTTCATACCTCAATCCGCTCTCCAAGGGCGCTAATCAAAGGAATTTCCACCACCAGCTAGCATCTCGGCACACCCTCATAATTAGGAGCTTTTTGAAATGACAGGTACGAACAATACAAAATCATGAAATAAATTACGATTTAAACTTTCTTTACATCATTCGAATGTATTTAACACAATACATAACTAATAAGTTTACAAGTTTTACCCTTGCTTCGACGATGCGTGACTTCCACGTTGCAAATGGTAAGTAGCAGGAAGTTAGCGTCACAAAAAAAACATAAGAAGAAGAAAACGGCGCTTTTCAAAATAAAAGCAGAACGGACCTTGTTAACACATGAATAGAATATTGTGTAGGAGAATTGCAATTTAAATCAGACATTTACACCACCAACCTTGTGGTTCCCAGCGTACCCTCTCTACCCCTGCGCCAAAAGAAGAAAAAATAAATCTCTTCCAACATCTTGTGTACTCTTTTTGCTAATACATATGATACCTTTATTCATTAAAAATTCAATTTCTGATTAATATAAACTCCTCCCACCTCAGTTCATGTGAGGTTAAGGCAGCTTCTGAGTAGGAAAAACATTGAACAGAAAAGGTCATTTCTTTCCTTTTAACATTTTGGTCATCTATTCTATATATATATATATATATATATATATATATATATATATATATATATATATATATATATATATATATATATATATGTATGTTTTCTCATATTTTGCTTTTTGTTTAACAAATGGTTTAAGCTTAGTAAGATAATACGTTCCACCGTTTAATAGTTAGTGAGAGCCCTCTAATGCTACTGCCCTCAGTCCTGCTGACTGATGATAATAAGATCAATGATATTTAAAATTAATCCCAAAGGTAGAAATCACATATGTTGTGTGTACTGTTAAAAACCAACATTCCCTCTGGTATCTCAAACCTCGGTCTAATTTCTTCTGTTGAGGCTTTTGCCTTTGTTAAAACATCCCGTGCTTTTGTTGAAAACATTTTAATCAATTTGGAAAACATGATTGTGACAATTTTCCTTTTCTTTGCCTTGATTTAGTTCAATGAAGTCCATCCTAATGTATTACATAAATATTCCTGTAACTCAAAACGTAGGATTGTTTATCACAATCAATGTCTGCCAAAAATATTGTATTAGTAATTAGTACAGCTAAATCCTGTATACGCCTTTCCATCCCTAATGCCACATCTCTATATAAAGTCTTTACCTCTTCCGCATTATGTCACATGGACTCCGCAGGTCAGAGGAGCCACTGAGGAGAAAAACTTCTTTTCTAGAAACATTTCAGGGCATGTCGCCAATTTGATTCTTTTTATAGAGTTTAAAGAGTTACTTCATAAAGAGTTAGAAACTCTTTCACATGAGTCGCTCCTGCGTCACTCTAACACTGTTCATTTACTCAGACTAAACAGTCCTTTAATGACGCCAATTATTGCAGCCAAAACCACTTCGAGCTCCACACTGTGAAGACAGTGGAGACGGTTGTCGCCATCAACCAGCCTCCTGATTTGTTAGAATTAGTTTGGCTCTTTAGCTTTATTTATTATTTGTCATAAAGCAACCGCACCGCACACTACAAAGCATTGAGTAAAAAAAGGGGAAATCTGATCTGACCCTCTGTCCCACTTCAAGGGTTTATTAATCCCCTATAAGGTTCTGACTCTTTCTGCAATAATGAACAAACAAACCGTACAACAATTCCGCGGTGGAATGTTATGACCTTTTATTGACAAGTTTTATGAATCAGTTTACCTCTGATGAGCTCATAGTGCTGGTTGTACAAACAAACCATGAAATCCACCACACACTAAAATGTAACAATACGCTGAAAATAACTGAAGAGATGCATGCTGCATTTATGTGTCTTTTTGTGCGTGCTGGTATCTTGGTTGCTTGGAAATGAGCCAAAGCTTCTGTGTGTAGAAACACACACACAGACTTTCTCTTTGAGGATTTATCAGCCTCAGGCACGTGCACAGATAGACCCCTGGTGGTACTCAAGCACCTGCCCTTTTGCCCTGGATAAGAAAAGTGCCTCTTCTGCATTGTTCCTTCATTCATCAATATTTTATTTATTTTGATATCCGATGGGGCATTTATTTGAGTTCTTGTGAGAATTTCGCCCAGTCATCCATGGTCCAAACTAGATGTGGTCCATATTGACAAAGGTCGTGGGGGAAGAAACATCATCAACATCAAATTCTATCAACTCTTTGATTTGGCTGCAAATTAGACCTAAATGAAGATGTCAGATTTCTAGTTTCTAAAGCATTCGAAAACTAATTTGTCTTTCTAAAGGTACATCAATAGTGGTTTTATGTGACAATCACTCCTCCTGAAACACAATTTCAATGTAGTTTACGGCTGCACTGCGTGGACGACAAACCACGGACTCGGAATTGAGTTCCGAGCATCATCGACTAACCAAATAATCACAATCCAATGAACAGCACACATACATCTATTAACGCAACAACACCCATCGCCGGATCATCACACGGACAAAGAGACAATAAAGACTCCTGTGTTGGATGTGAGTCACTGTGCGCGCGGAGGCGTGCGGCCAACTGTAGCACCCTGCCAGCAGCGGGCTCCTCCGCCGGGAGGGGTCCACGGAGCTGGTCGGTGTGTCTCCTCCTCTTCCTCCTCCCCCTCCTCCTCCTCCTCCCTGCTCGCCGTATGGACGCTCGACTGAGGCGCATCGCGCTCCCACCGTTTCCTCCCCGGCGTCGCTTCCGCGCAGGTGTCCCGCCCTGATCGACGGCCTGACAGCGAGTAGTGGAACCCGGCGGGCTGCGCCCGGTGCAGCCGGAGAGCTCGGGCATGCCATCCGGGGCGACCGGACCGAGCTGTGTGTGTCGGCCCGACGTTCGCTTTGCTACTTGCGGGAAACCAAAGTTGCTGCAATGGAGACTTCGGAGAGCGACGCGGCGGTGGCATCGCTGAGGAGAGCGGAGGAGAGAGACGGGTATTATGACCTGGAACATCTGCCCCCACTGCTGGAGGACGAGGTGAGACGATGGGGAGGTTTCTACGTGGATGTTTCAAGACGTTTAGAGGTGTATTGGCTGGTTGGGTTACATGTTTGCTCCAGATGACAATAACTCCTATGCTGCGTTCTTCTTCCCATAAGCCATTTCTTCCAATTTGGCTAAAAAAAGTATTCACATTCTTTAACAATGAAGGAAGTAAAAGTGCAGAAGTACTTGTGTTTAGAAAAAGTACTTTACTCATGGTACTGTCTGTGCTTTATAGTCTGCCTGTTAGGGATTGGGCCTCTCTGAGGGCCCCCAGATTAAATAAAAAAAGTAGAATTAGCTGCAAAACAACTGCATTTACCTTTGGGCTTAGAAATGAATCTTTACTTTTTGGTGAAACATAGATAGTTGTAGCTACTCTACTCAGTGAACAGCCACCCAACAGAGAGCTCATCTCTTGTAAAGTGCTGCAAGCTTAAAAACAGCCGCTGAGGTATTGAGCGGACTGGAGATACTCAAGCAAATGAAATGTGCCCAAAACTGTGCTGAAGTAATTGTACTTTGAAAGTGTATGAACTGCTTCAAGCTTCTTCAGACTTGCACCATGCACAGACGTATATAGGACAGCATATTTAACGTGTGAGGGAGTGTTGGGGGGGGGGGGGCTCTAGCTTTCCTCTGCACTGCTCTCCGGGGACGCTGTCTATTTACGGGTGCTGCTGCTTCTAGTGGCATTTTCTGGCCTGTGGTCGCGCTTCGCCCCAGATCACCTCGATACGCTTTGTTCCCAATCTGCTGCAACTTTTCTGTACCTGCAAAACAGCTCAAAGAGCAAAGTCGATACCCCCCCCCCCCCCCCCCCCGTTCCCTGGGAGGGATAGACATGAATAATGTCATGGAAGAGGAGAGACGTTCATGGTGATAATTATCGTGTTTGACACTTGCAGCTTTGTGGAGAGCCCACACTTCTCTCTCCCAGCCATCTGTCTGCGTCAAGGCCGGCTTTTGTGTTCCCCCGCGAACCGACAACAGAAGAGCCCGTAGTGACGGGTCGATGAGTCGGTGAGATCACCGCGTCGCCACCAATGCGGCCACTTGGTGTAGTGGTGGATCACAGACGATCCAGTGTGTTCATAGCACGTGTTTCACCCTCGTGGTATTTACAGGTCTCAAAATGAACGTGACTGACAAAGAACATGGCTGTCAGGGTTTCAAGCTGTCATCTTCCAGGGTTGAGATCCTTTCCACCAAGCTGAGATGTCTACCAGTGATCCCGTGCCGTTGGATTGTACTGTATGACGTTTCAAGTTGTTCAAGTCTACAATTTTTGTTTTGACGATGGGTTCATGTTTCAGCTTTAGTTCGTGAAAGCAGGTCCTAGTTTTAAAATGGGCTTATACCTTTATTTAGATTTCTGATAGTGAAAAGCATGTCAGTTTTCCAAAAAGAGGTGCTCTACCAACGCGTCGGATGTGGAGGTGGTACCAGAGGGAACGCTGTGCATTCTGCAGCACATTACTAACCCACCTGTTGTCAGTACAAAAAATAGACTTTTTGGAACATTTTGGTCCCCAGAAAGCGTTTTATTCAGTGTTCACGTTGCACTTGTTACTGAGTCCAAAACGTTTTCAAAATAAAAGTACACAAACCATAGGATGTGCCGTCTATAACGCAAAGAATGCAGAATTTTGAAATCCTTAGAAGAATTAGTTTAACAAATGTTTTACGGTGGAGACATGGAGGCATGTTTTTTAGACCTCAGGGATACATACAATGCTTTTTTGGTGTTTAATATTTATAAGAAACCTGCCCACCTTTTAATGCACTAGATTAGCCCTGACGTTCTCATTTCGCTTCCTTATCTCAAGAATGTGAATCTTTGCGAGACGGCACTCTTTATAAGCTGTTACGCTGCTGCTGATAGCTTTACGTTATAACTGTAGCAGCAGTAGAAGTATCTCTGCCCCGTCACCCACATGTAGGATCTAGTTTCCTCCGGGTCTTAGGCTGTACTCTGTTGGCTCCCTGTGCTGCAGGGATGGCGCCGGGGCCTTAACGGCAAACTTCTACTCCGCACACATTTCATTTACATTTGAGTTGGCTGACTGACTCGCAGCAGAAAGCAGGGACTGTTTTGAAAACCCTTGTTTGGTGGTGCACGAATGGAGTGGAGGAAAACGTGAACCATCTGTCCTCTGGGTTAGGTTGCTGGGCATTGAAATGTATGAAATGCTTGGAAGACAGAGCTCGCCATAAGTCCTTTTTAGAGTAGTACAATATTTAAGTGGATTGACCGACTTGACTTGGAACTCTTAATAGTAGTTAGTACTTAGTTTAAATGGCCATCTGACTCTTTCTGTGCCATTTTGTTGAGAATAATGCAGTTGGCCGACCTAGAAATGAGCTACAAGCTTATAGAAAATAAATCCTCGTTAAACATTTTGCCATTAGACAAGGATTGAACCCAGGAGTCTACCCCCGGTCCCACAGGGAAACTCAATGCGGAAGTGTCTCCTTTGGTTGTGAAAAAGAAGTATAATCATACAGAATTCTATGAGAAAAGGCCCCTACTTCTTTCTTGTTTATTACCTTTGTAATCATGGGCTTATGGTCTTAATCTGTAGTGCTGCTCTGCCACAAACTAATGGCCGACGTCTCTGCGAGTACGTCCACTTGTTACACACAGTACGATTGAATCATTTGTTGCGTGTGAGCTTACCTGGACCTTCTTGTGCGTGTATTTTGTCCCCAGGAGAACGTGTCCCTGGCAGACGTCCTGTCCCTACGGGACAGCTGCCTGTCCGAGGAGGAGGTGTGGGCTGTGTGTGCAGAGTGCGTCCTGGCACTGCAGAGCATCCGACCCTCCCACCTCTTCCACACGCTGTGCATAACGCCAGACACGCTGGCCTTCAACGCCCACGGCAACGCCTGCTTCATGGAGCAGCTCAGCGGTGAGTCTACGGCGCCGAGTGACGGCCCTTCGCGTGTTCACGCAGTGATCCACAGCCTCCACTTCTACATGACTTCTTATCTTCTGAATCTGGGGGATGACTGTCATGGCTGTTGATGCGTTTTTAAACAATTATTAATTTCTTTCAGCGTTTATTTCTCCACGTACGTTTAAATCAATTATAACTAGAGGACGGTACAGATTAGGACAGAGCTGCATTGCAGAGTTTTAAAGCCCAGTAGAGGAGGCTCTTTTCTGTTTCTCTTCACCAGTCTGATGCCCTGATCTGTATCGCTTTCAAGCAGCAAATTCCTGCTCCTGCATCGGCGTCTCACTGGATCTCTGGGGGCTTTGCCGCGGTCCGCTCTCCGATCTGAGCGGACGCTGTTGTTCTCCTTCGCAGATCTGAAGATATCCAATGAAATATTATCCCTCACCTCCTCTCCTCTCCTCCTCCTCTCCTGTCCTCTTTTTTTGTTCTTCCTTATGCCGTGTTTCCGTTTATAGCGCACGCAGTGTGACACACACTTACTTCATGTCCCGATGGTGGATTTCCAAAATGACTGATGACCATTGACCAAATCAGCAGTGTCAGCGTTGCCAGGGGGATGGTTGTTGTGGTAACCGCTTGGTCAGCCTATCGGCATTACACCTGCTCTCATGCCGACTGATCCGCTCAGCATGGCGTCCCCTTACAATCATGCATCTATTTCCTTCCACATTAATCACTAATAGTGACTTTGGAGAGGTGCTTATATGACTCTGTTGGCTAAACTCTGGAGGTTCATTTCCTTTATCTGATCGAGTTATGATTGATCTTGTGGAAAGAAAGAGAAACCAAATACGGAGGCCACGTTACACAGTACATCTCTATATCATGAATCTCAGGCAGATTGCAGTTGCCACAACGACTGATCAGTAGGGTTTGTTTCAGCTAATTAAACTGTAATACTGAGAAAGACTGCGGAGCTTTAGCATTGCGAGCCACTCCACATTTTGATAAAAAACGGTTGCTGCACCGCGTGGGAGGTATGATAAGCACCTTATGGATAGTGTGCAGAATCAGCTGTGTTGCTTAGCTCACGCTAACTGTTGGGCTAAAGAGCTGCAGGCAAACAGGACTCCGAGCTCCTACCTTCCCCCTCACGGCTGTCCTTTTCTTTTTTCCTTTGTGTCTTCTCTGTGTCAGTTCCTACTCACTACAACATGTTTACGTATCTTCTGTACACGTTTTGGAGAGGCGAGGAGAAGAGATGGAAAGGCATCAGTGGAGAGGTTGAGGTTGAGAATGTAAAGTGAAGGGAAAAAGGGTTGTAGGAAACATGACAGGAAAGAGGACAGGGTAGGAAAGTCAAGGAAAGAGAAAGGTGAGGAGACGCAGTGAGAAGGTAGAGGAAAAGGGGAGGAAGCTGAGATTGAGGAGAGAGGAAGAAAGAGAAGGAGAGATGAAATAAACCAAGTACGGAAAGGAGGCGAGAAGAAGGAAAATACAGGAAAGAATTACAAAGAAAAAAGGGGAGAAAAAAACAGTGTTAGAGAAGAGGAGAAATCAAGGTCGGCCTCACAAACCCTTGAAGGGCCGATTGCAACTCGAGCAGACAAACCCAGATCCGTGCTGACCCACTTTACTCCTCTTCTCTGCCTCCAACTCCCTTTGTCTCCACATGCCAGTCGAGGGGCTGCACGTTTGTGTTGTTTTTGCGCGTCTGTGTGTCCCTCCTGTTGCCGGACTGACCGATGGCCTATTTGAGGAAGAGGAGGAGGAGGAAGACGTTGGCCTGCTGCCGCTCGGCGGCCTCTCCGCCTTCCGATCGGCGGCTCTTGTTCGTCAGCACACCTCAGGAAAAGCAGACTCTCATGGTTTAGCGCATGCTTCTGATTGGCGTCTACACATCAAAAGCCCAACGCGGTTTGACGTGCAGACACGTAGTCGGTCGTAGTCGGTCGTTCGATCCACGTGCTGCACGCTTCTTACACACGCGCTTAATGGTGCTGTTAATCTGCATCTTTTGGTCCTTGCAGATGACCCAGAGGCTCCTTCGTTCCTCCTGAATTTGACAACACGGGCAGCACGTTTGAGGTAAGAGAGGCCAGTTCTACTCAGTCGCCATAGGCCAGCAAACATTCACAAGCTCACCTCCATCCGGTAATGTGGAATAAGGAGGAGGCAGTACTCTAAATACTTGTTTGATTATTTCTTTTGTATTGTGTATATAAATATTCTCCCCTGCTGAAACTTTCTTGCTGGGTCCTTTTTTAGGTATTTTTTCGGTGACACACCATGTTTATTTGTTGTCCATCCTTCCGTCAGTGTGTCCTATTCGACGTGTATCTTAGGGACAACCTGAGGGAGAGTCTTTCAATTTGGAACAAACATCCAAAACACCTTTCTGACCACGTCTCATGAATGCATATGTTAGTTATGACAATTTTTCTCCAATGTCTCAGAGAAAGTGACGACATGTTGGACAGACGTGGATGTAAACTGCAACACAGGGAGGAATGCAACTGCTGGGCAATAATCTGTCAAGGATATTAAGAAAATGGGTTCAGTAAATGTTTGAATGAATCATTTCAGCTCTTTCAGCATTACTGAGTAACCTTTTAATTCGTCTTAAGGTACTTTGCACAGCTTGGTCTGCTGGATAAAAGGAGCCGTCTTGAAATAAGCCCATTTGCTGCCTGAGATGCAACTGCATTCAGAAGCTTTTGGCATCTTCACTCAGTGGTGTCCCTGTTCCCCCGCTAACATGAATAAATTCACAGTGGACTTATGTAACCAAATCTCAAAACGAACCTTGCGCCGTGCATTCTAATCTTGCGCTCCGTCAGAAAACCTAAAATGTCTTCTTTCTTCTTTTTCTTTGTGTTTTTCCTGAAGAGAGATACTTCTTATTGCCAAAGTAAGCTTGTAAGCAAAGCACGAGTCTTGGCCTTCGGCTGCGTATTTACGCTTCTATTTTTGGCGGCCTGGCACGTGTCTGCACCACAGCATGGGTGCCGTCCGCTTCGAGTGTTGGGAGAGACGGCTTGGTTTGAGACGTGAACTCAGAAGCTCCTCGTCGCTGCTGCCTCACAGCCGACCATAATACTCACTCAGTGTAGCCGAGCGAAACAAAAGCCTCTGTCATTAGCGCGGCCAACACATGACCATTACCGCCCCAACGCGGCGACAACATCCTGCCCTCACTCAGCCGCTTCTTCAGTCCTCACTGTAAGATCGCAGCTGCAGCTGACTCCTGGTAATGATGATGACGATGATGACGGTGTGTTTGCGCCTCCCTTTTAAACCCGGCTGCAGGGCCATGTTTACTCTCTGGGCTCTACGCTCTCTGCCGCACTGAACTTTGTCGTCGAGCCAGAGCTGGAGGCAGAGGTGGGGGAAGAAATGGAGAAGCTGCTGCAGCAGATGATGGAGGAGAAGCCTGAGGACAGGCCTCTCCTGGAGGTATTGCAGAACCCCGCCGACTGCTCTTCGCTGCCAGAATGATTCATTGAAAGTTGTGAAAAGATTTGAGTAATCAGCGATCTCACTCGAGCGGTCGCGTTGTCATGGTATCCAGACTAAAAAAGCAGTGGTGTCTGAAATGAAGTCACTGTGAGTTTGTAGGAAAGCTTGAAAAAAGATGAATGTCTAGTTGGATTGCATGTTAGGGATAAAAAACAACAACGGAGAAAGAAAGACATAATAAATGAAGCACATAAGTATCCGATTCACCCTCAGATTCAGTCAGCAATCACATAGAAAATCTGAAATACCTAAAAACATTAATAACATATGCATAACACCGATAAGTGCACTAAGAGTGGAGAGCGGATCTCCACCAGGTGTCTCCCTCTAGCATCCAGAACACAGAAGAGCTGAATCATAGTCGCACCCTTCTGGCTCCCTTACAAACAACATGAACAACCATAAACAAACAGAGATTTATTCGCCTTGTATCGTGCATTCGAGTTGAATGGATCATATGATATCGGGTATGGGATTGATCTGCAAGAATGAAACCAATTGTCGAGCCAGAACAAAGGCGTAAAGTGGTTGTTAAAGAGAAGTCAATGATGGTATGAAAGTAAAAGAACAGTCTGAATCCACAGGAGGTCTTTGAGCATAAACATCAACCAATAAAATATTGGTGCAATAGTATGCAAGATTAACAGTGAACAGATAGATGACCTCCACGTGAAGGGATATGATACATATATATTTACAGTCCAATTAATGGCAGCATCAACTATGCAGAAATAACCACCTATCATCAAACAAATGCAAAATAATTGAGCACTATATTGTTATGCAAATTGAAATAACTGTTGTAGCCATAAAGTCTTACATATTTTACTATTTGCATTATTTAAGCGTGTTACAAGTTGCATAGAGCGCGCTCGTCATTTTTTTTCCTGTACACAGAAAAGTCATTCAAAGCAGCTCTTGCACACTGTTTACACTTGATTAGCTACACTTTCATCAAATGACCTTCATCCGGCATTTCATATGAGAAAATACAAGCCGTGTTAAGGCACATTCATGCGTCAGACACTTATCACAAGTTTAAAGGGTTTAGTCGCAATATGCACAATAAATAACAAAATAAAAACTGCATTTTGCATCATTTGTGAAATAATTCATTGTGACCTGAACGACATCTCTAGAAAAGAATAACTCATAATGACAAGAAATAAGTAGACGTCCTTGCGTGTAGAACAGAATCCTTTCATAACTCAAACCGACATGTGTGACACTCCCACAGGACCTTCTCACGCTGGCTGAAGCGAGGCTGTCTCCCACCTCCCCGGCAGCTGTGTGCCGGAAACTGTCTTCTGTTGGTCGGCGGGTGCTCTCCATAGAATCAGTATCAACCTTTCAAGGTTGTTTTTTTTCTTTCATCATCTCAACGAACGCGTTGCAGTTGTATCTCCGCTGTGATCCCCCCCCCCCCCCTTACCCCCGGTACCAATTGCTGTCTTTGCATCGCCCCCAGATGGACGAGAAGGCTCCTGGGAGGCGAGGTGGCAGCATCCCGAACCCAGGCGCCTGCTGAAACGGCCCTGCTGGGACGACAACGGCGAAGACCCGTGTGCCGGCTGTTCGGTCAGAGAAAATGGTCTGTCCAGGCAGCAGGTGTGTTACACTTTGTGGCTTTGAATCTTTTTTTAGGAAACTGCTGCAGAAGGAGGAGTAAAATATGGTTTAACTAGGCCAAGACTGCTGAAGCTCCCCCCTCCGAACCTCAGAATGTCAGCAATTTTTTGTTGCTTCTGTTCCTGCACCAGTTGGGGTCACTGAGCCGTCCAATTCTGGATTATAATCAGCAGCATAACAGGATTTACTCCTTTCAAATAAATGAAAGGAGACTCTGGTTTCAGGATTCAATCTGGAATTGATTCTGGATTTCTAAGTTAACTTGAATAAAGCAAATCTTTATCTCCACTTTTCTTTGCCATGCAATGAGGATTGTCTCCCCACTGTGGGCTGAACCCGATGACTCGATCTGCAGGTGTGCGGCGGCTGGGATTCCTCTCTCTGGGCGGACGACATGGACGCCGCTGAAGGTGACGGCGTGATATTTGCCGACGAGTTGGACTGCAGGTCCCACAACAGCTCCCCGGTGAGGCGGAGAGCCCAGCAGAGGCCGAACAGGGTGAGGGGGGCTCTGAACCGCTCCTGCTCCGTCCCGGACTCCAACAACCCCCCTTGTCCGTCCCCGTCCGCCCACGGGGACATCAGCGTACCTGTGTCCGACCTCACGGAGATCGGCACGCACGGCCAGCGGGGCTGCACGTCCGCGTGGAGCAACGCGCTTCAAAGACTCAACCGGGGCCGCTCCTGTGAGCCGGACCCGCACAGCGGCGCCGAGGATTGTGGGAACCAAGTGTCACCGGCAAGGGAAGTGGCTGCAGAGACGTTGTCCAGCGGGGATACGAAGGTCAAAGGGTACCTTGAATCTAAGGACTGCACACATGATTTGCCATTTTTCCGCACTCCCTGTCGGGAGATGGAGATGGAGGAGGACCAGAGCCTCTATGTTCCCAACAACTACATGACCAAAAGCATGCTGTGCCTCAATGAAGAATCTCAGGATGAGGTCAGACCGCCACGGCTTCACATGTACATTATATATGTGTTTGTATAGTACGTTCAGAGGAAGTATGTACAGTAGGTGGGACGAATGTTTAAACCCTCAAAAATAGATGTTACAGAAATGTTCTGAGTTAATTATAACTTCAGTTTGAGTTACTTCGGTGGACTTGGGGACCCGCTGAAGGATGTGAATGAATGTCTTCCTCTTTTAATTTGTTCTTTATTTCCCCTCCAGTGGATCTCTCTGAGAGAGTTACTGACTCTGTGTGGGCGGCGGCTGACGGTGGATGAGCTCTGGGCTCTGTGTTACACCTGCCTCTCCTCCCTGCAGACCTACACTGACTTCCCAGGTGATTTTAACCACCCTGTTCATTAAAGCTCGGGCTCGCCCGAAAGGGGAATTAAAGATTATGCAAATAATGTGTGGCGTGGCTTGAATTTGATGCCGGCAGTGGTACTTTGCAGCTGACTTCTCTCTGTGTCATTAGCCTATCTATGCCTGGACACGCTGCATGTGGGCTGCGATGGAGAGGTACTTTTCCTGAAACCTAAAAACATCGGTAGGTTCACTTTTGAGCTGTGAGCTTTGCCGCTGCAGAACATTGCTGGCAGCTTAACAGTCATCCATCTTTTTTTGTATTTAGTTGTCTACTTTCAAAATAGTTGTTAAAAGAAAGTGTGTATATACTGAGGCAACAGTCGTTTTCAAGCACTCGAGCAAGTCGTTTCTGACTTTCTGTTTCCTCTGCAGGATCCCGAGATGCATTTTATCTTGCTCCAGAATATCAAGAACACGGAATTGTAACTGAGAAGGTTTTAGTGCCTCCGTCTTTTTAAAAAGATCCCTGTCACCAATCACGTGCTTGGTTTTTATGTTTCCCTCTCCTCTTTTACTCTCAGGTTTGTGTCTACGCGGTTGCTGCTATTCTTTGGGCTGCAGCCAAGTTCAGTTTATCACCCAATCAAAAACTGGCGGTTCCCCGTAAACTGAAGAGACTGCTGATGGAGATGGCAAAGAGGACGGCCATCGAGAGACCGACCATCGCCGCGGCCAAAAAAGTGAGACTCTCAACCTGATACTGGCAGAGGAGGAGCTCATGTGGCTCCCTGGTACCTGGTTGTTGCACAAGCCACTACAGATACAACATTTCTTATCTGAGATCTGAAATTGGTCTGAAAATACAATTTAAAGAAAAGGAAATCAGATCGGCTTTAAGAAGGGCTGTGACTGTCATTGTGAGCCCTTATTTAGATGAAACATTTTTAGAAATGGTGCCGATTCAGAATGAGGATGTAAGTATAAAATCTAAACTACCCAAAAGGGTGTAAACTAATCAACATGAGCCCCACCTTGAGCAGCAGCATCATTACAGTGATGAATGCAATAATAATAATTAGTAAACAGTAATTATATATCCAATATTATTCAATGATCAGCCATTCTGCCTATTCAGTAGCCCCACCTTTACTTTTGATATTTCAAGAATATATATTCATGCTGAACTTTTTTAGGATACAGTTTATGCAGTTTAATGCGTATAATACGTGCACTGCTCACCTCTACGTCTGGCGTCTCGCTCATATTTCAGCCTTCAGACAAAATGAAGCTGGTTCCCTTTTCGGGCTTCATACGTACGTCGGCACGTTGGCATTGAACATGTAACCTGTTTGAACATCAGCTAGAGGGAATGTTGGTAAAACCCTCTGTGCCTGGTGACTGCTGGCATTAGTTGGAGACTTAATCTTGTGTTTATTGTGCGGAAAAAGTTTATTCATCATTTCCAGTGCTTGGGCTTTAGTGCCCGGTAAAAGTACATTTTAAAATAAACTGATTTGGATTCTTAATAATTTTTACATTTCATTTTCTATGGATTTGTTTATACTTTTAGGTATCAGTTTAATGCTGCCTTATGTTATTCTGCCCTTCTGTCTTTTATGTGTCGTTGTGAAAAGCACTTTAAACTGCATTTCATTGAATGAAAAGTTTTCTATAAATAAATCCTGATTGGATTTCTGCATATCAAAGTGCGCAACTTCAGAGAGAAGCACCTTTCTAAATAGACACATCCTGCTTGAAAGAAGCGCATTGATTTAAATATAGAGAATCCAAAGTGCTTTGCCATTTAGTCAACAAAGGACTCCTTAAAAAACCCACATAATTAACTTGTATTTGTATGCTGTCAGTCATTGTGTAGAAGTAACTGTTCAGCCTTTATAATTCAATCAAACCCTTCAGTTGTTTCAGGGTACAAACTGATCGTGACGTTATTAGTGTTGTTATTGTTATTGACGTATTAGTGTCTCGTACTGACATCACATTTGTTTTCCTGCGGTTTCAGAGCTGTCGTGACTACTTATCACGTCGAGGGACGAATGCTGAAGCCGTGTGGAACAACCTCATCAGCAGAGTCCACCCGGTAAACGCTCCTCTTCTTCACCTCGGATGAATCCACACCTTTTGTCTCTATTTATTGTATTCAAATCTCAACGCCCGGGTCCTTCTGTTTCTAATTGCTCCTCCTCCTCATGTCTGTCCTCATTCTTCTCCTGGTAAAAGAAGATCTTTATTGTAACAAAGTCTATTTTCCTTCAGCCAGCCTCCAAATCTACCGACGCAGATGGTTTGAGTGCAACTGACACTCAACAAAGCTCATGGGCAGAGTCTGCAGGAGACACCGGTAGGACGTCTTCCCTTTAATGTGGACAACCCTCATGCAATGTAGTTTACCTTGAAATGTGCCGCATATCATACGGAATCTTTATTAATGGCTTTAACGATGCTGAAGAAGAAAATGCAGGAAAAATCATTGGCTCAACCAAAATCACGGCAAATTAGCAGCTCTTCACTGAAATGTTCCACATTCTGTGTAATTCTCGCTGCATGAGACAATATCACTGATATTGTATCTGGCATTGTAACTGTGTGTAGGCTTTGTGCCAATGGCCACTGAGAGCCGGCTGGCTCCTGTGCCTGGCCCTGTTCCCCACAGCTTCCCAGAGGCCTTCACCTCCGCCGCCACACACTTCACCCCCATCATCCTGACAAATGAGTGGAGCTCGGAGGAGGGGGGCAGCCGGCACATTGGAGCGGTCATTGAAAGGTAGGATGTTGCAAAAGAAATCCCTTAAAATAGTGGTGTAAATCTGCAAAAGGCATTTTCTGGGTGTACGTAATTTCGGGGGAAATGGGGGTCGTACGCCTTTGTTTCTTGTTACGAGTCAAATGAACTGCATAAAAAGCGAAAGTGGCAGGAAACAGCTAGCGTGGCTCCGTGCGAGGATGCTGCTTGATAACCATGAGATACATGAAACATGAAGTCGTGGCTTTCGAGGACATATTTGTTGGTCTACATCTGAGCCATCTGACTTTTTGCTGACATTCATGAATATTATGAAATAATAATTTACTGATATGGCTCTAGTAGAATTGAAATAGTTTTGGACTGAATGTGTCATATTCAAACCAAACAAAGAGACCCTTTGTGCTGCTTGTAATTCTCAGTAGAAGAAAAACATGATCGTTGTTGGAAAGCTGCGCATTATGAGAAGTACTTTTGGGCCGGTGTTTCACGTGATCTGCAATATGCTGAACTATGTGGCCACTGACACACATTTGAGAGTCATATCAGTCTCCTTACGAACCTCAGAAAAGAAAGGTAATAAACCTGTTTCTTCAAATACTAAGGAGAATTTATAAGAAAGAAAATGGAAGGGATTCAAAAAGAACAACGTTAACACTTCACATTGTTCGTTTTACAGGACAAAAAGCAGTGAAGACACGCAGGCAAAGGGCCTTGATCCCCTTCCACCCTTTCGCTCTGACTCTCCTGAACCTGATCTACACGCACAGGAGTTGCCTGTTCGTCATACAGTCATAACCACAACCTCTGTCGACAATTTGCCGGTCAACTCTACTTCCACTCTCCCCAATATGTCCTTTCTTGAAGTCTCTCTTCCTCCACCATCACCATCTGAACTTGGGACTCGTGGCATTTTCAACAATTACCTTTTCCGTCAGGATCCCACAACGGGACGCCTTTGCTTAGTGCCTGTGCAGGTCCGGCCTCCAGAGTCTCTCCTCGGGTTGGATATGAATCTCTCCCTCGTGCCGCGGCCTTTGCGGGGACAGATCGCAGGTCCGGAGAGCGTTGACGGCCCATTCATCAAACGTTTGCATGCGCCCGGGAGGCCTGGACCCCGCGATTGTGGCCCGCCGTCATCCCATTTCAACGGCGGCTCCGTCCTTCCTGACGGCGCCCTGGATCGCGGGGTACCGAGAGCTTGCAGTGGACAAACAAATCCAGGGACACAAGACTCGGAGTCCATCCCCCCCGAAGTCCACCCTGCCAAGCTGCTCGGCGGAGACCGCTCGCTTGACGGGCATTTGGCCGACGAACACGAGGACATCGGCCTGGGTATGTATCTATTAATGGGCATCATCATTATAAAGTCTGCACGCTTCCAGCCATTCTTTAAGGAAACAACAAAATAATGACCCACTCTATCATTTAGATATGAAGCCGTATTCTTCCAAATAGAAGATCTGCTTTTTTTCTCTTTTTTTCCGGAGGGAAGTGCATCTTCTCTCTGAAGGACTTCCAGTACCCGGCGTTTGCCAGCGTTGTGAAGGAGAAATTTGGCGATCTGTACTGGGAAGACGACTTGCTTGCTGTGCTGCACTGCCTGGTTAGCTGCAGCCCGTCCCCGCTGTAAGTTGCACGTTGGACATTTATTTGACATTTGGGCCTTTTAAAGATGAGAACATTACTTTGTTCAACATTACTCTTTGAATTGTAAAAAAGTGGATACTGACGTAGCCCGGATTCATATTGTGTTGATGTTTAGAGGACCAGTCTAAATTGAAAAAGGAAATATTGTTAACCAGCCAGTGCTTCCCTCTAAACAGTGAAATAACCAAATGTAGCTGCTCGTGGTCAGATACCATGATCTGTCCTCTTTGCACAGCCATGTACTGCATTCAGTTGAGCATTCATCCAATTGATGCGCGGCTCATACGGTCCCCATGGTAACCGATATGAACTGTGTTTGCTAGTACTGGGGAGGCAAACATTGACGGCCCATGTAAAGCCTCTTCTGCGTTGTTACTGATGATAGATTCCGTGCCGCACACGTCGCTCTGCATTTAAGTGTGAGTCAGGGACGAGCTCGCCCGTTGCCTCACGGAAATAGACGCTCTTGCTCGCAGGGCCCTGCATTGGAAGGTTCTTTCTACTGCTCCAGCGCCCCTGAGGGGACGTGGGACCGCTGGAGCCTTTCGGAGCGACCGAGTGTCACACTTCAATTACATTTTATTGATTTTTTATTTCTTTCTGCATGTGATCTGGGATGTTTTGAAACGAGACATGAAATCACGAACCCCTGCTTGCGTGCCGTCTTCTAAGTGGATCTGTGAACTTTGACGTCGGCTATTCCTGTTTCTTTGTTTATTTACATTTTTAATCACAAACCCTGTTGCATACGATTTCCGCGGTTCTTCGCGGGAAAGCTCACCGGGGCTCGCTTTGAACTCGCCGCGTGTGCTTTCCCTCTCCTGCAGCGGCTCTAATGAGGAGGCTCCATCAAAGGCTGTGAATCGGGCGGCGCTCCCTCCACCCTTGGTAGCCGCCGCACGCAGAGCGGGGAGAGAAGTTATCCGTCTCCACCTGGATGGAAACGCTCACGCGTCCGGTCCTGCTGCTGTGGGTTGTGAGGCTCTGCCCTGTCATGGGGGAGAGGAGGCTCCGCTCAAAGATCTCCATTTAAGAGCAGGGGAGAGTCTACGCTGCATCTTTCAAGGTATAGATAAAGACTTATATACGTTTTGTTTTTTAGACTCATGTCTCTTTAGGTTACAGTCGGTTATAATCTTTATTATTGTGATTTGCATGTGCATGTCAGTTGAGTTCTGATGGCTGTTTAAAGTTTACGTAATAAAAGCTTAGTTCATTTAATAATCTACAGCAGGTAGTCTTCTCATACATAAGTATGAGATCTGGCAAGACTTGAGTTTAGGACTCAATGCTGAATTTTTCTTTGTAAAGAATTTAATCCGTACTGATTCATCCTATTTAAAAAATCAAATCTGTCCGATGTTTTTCCTCCTAATTGTTTTAGAGTATTTCTATTCCGCTTGATCAAGTTAAATGCAAGTGCCAAATGCAAGTGGTTCACACGGGTTGATTTGGATTCTTTTGCATTGAGAACAAATGTGTCTCTTTCTGAAGAGAACTAACATATTGTTTGAAAGATTTTACTCCACCCTGGTGTAACGCATAAACGTGCAGATAAATAGACTGCACAGTTATTAAGGGAATTTTGAGTTTGCATGTAATTAGTACATTCAACACTGGTTTCACGTTTAACCAAATCTAATTGAACCCATCTGTATTCTGATATATTCCACTATATCCAGCCGCCGACTGGATGGGGGCTCTGACTGGCTGCTGGATGCTCATCTTAAGACTCGAGCACGTTCGTGAGAGTCCAAAGCATAGCGGCATAGCGGCGAGCTCTTGAGATTCATATTTCTCCTCCAAGACTCATTCCTGGCCAGCAGCATTCAGCAAACACACCCTCGCATCTGCTTTTACTGAACCATCCCAAACATGTGGTCTTGATTACAATCGGGCTCTTACAAGACACCCAAGATAAAGCGATGGCGATAGTTTAGCCTTGAACTATTCCACATTCGAACAGGCGGCGCATTGTGCACCCATGACGTGGTTATTAAAAAAAATACCCCCAGCACCACCTCTTGATCCAAAATAACTATTTATTCATACATCATTTGTAATTTTGATTTGCGATTCAGTTCCTTTCTCCTTCTGGTCTTGTCCCAAATCCCCCCCCCCCCCCCTCTCTCTCTCTCTCTCTCTCTCTCTCTCTCTCTCTCTCTCTCTCCACTGTCCTTGTTCACGGGTTGAGGCATGAGTGCTGGCAGTTCGGAAGCGGTGGCCATGGAGGGAGGAGGGCGTGAATCCGCGGGGGGCAGCGATAAAAGCCCCTCCGAAGTGGAGTTTCCTTCGGGGAAAGGGGAAGATGAAGAGATGAGCCCCGACCGCTCCGAGGAAATGGAGGACAGCGAGTCTCTGGTGTCGGAGCGACTCGTCTCCCCCGGATCCAGAGCGGAGGGGCCTCCGGCCTTCAGCTCCGGCCCAACCTGGGCCTCGGCCTTCTTTGGGGAGGAGTGCTTCGGTCCTGAGGTGATCCAGTACGCTGTGAATCTGGGGCAGCACACGGGATCTCCGGGCCTGGATGTGAAGACACAGGTGGGTGGACTTGTGGAGCTCACTGCCGCTCGTCATGTTTGACCTTAACCCTTTTTGTTTGATCAAACAGCAGCATTATTCATTCATCGGATTCTATTAAATGAAATATATGTAACAGAGCATGTTTTTTTAATTTAAAGCATGATGCAGATTAAAAGTGTTTATACTAATTCAAAACTTAAACATGTAGTGGAGGCTTTTTAAATGAACATGTTTTCATTTACGTCCCTTGTGCATTTCATCCGTTATGTTGGACCCAAGTGCTCATTGCACGCATTGTTCTCTCCGACCTGGATCTGAATGTGAAAGCGATGAATTAGCCCGTGGCAGAGTAACTAAGTGTAATAAAAGAATAGTAATGTTGTGCAAGCTTTGATGGGGTTTGTGTATCGGATGCTGTGACTGCCGTTGCATTCTTTTGTGCCACAGTTGTGAGGCAAAAGGGAGAGAAAGAAATGCTGCACTGGAAACAGCTGAAAGGCTTTTCTAGTGAAAGGCTCGTGGTGGTATTTCACAGCCTTTTTGTGTGATTTCTTTTTTTGAACAGGAACTGCAGCAGCAGCTGATGATCGAAACAAGGAATCTGAAGAAAACACAAAACTTCTTCCAGAAGCTGATTCAACAAGAGAGGAAAAACAAAGGTTGGGTAACCAGTTAACAACACAGCTAGTGTACGGAAACGGCGTGTGTGGCTTCCGGGCATCTCTAAAACGGTGTATGTGTCACCCCAAGGTGAAAACAAACAGATGCTGTCCAAACTCAAGTCCCAGCTGGAGGAACTCCGATCCAAAGTAGTCTTCCTAGATTGCGTGAAGAAATACCTCGAGGTGCTTACCAAGTACTACCATTCCCAACAATACTCTCCCATTCACTCCGACAACACCGTGGCTTTTCTATTCGTTGATTTGATATCATTGCTGCAGGTTCTCAGTGTGGACGAGTGGGGTGTGGACGTTTCATTACTGCCTGCTTTGGCTGTCTGTGGACGTGGATCTTTGGACCTCCAGTCCTCTGAGGACTCCTCTGTCCTGAGCTTTGGTACCAGCAAAGGCAAGAGGGCTCTGCAAGCTGGTTCTCCTCTGGGCCTCATGGCTTACCTCTATGCCAGGTATCATTGAGGAGCTCTTTCATTTGCAGTGCTGAGTGAGTGTGTTGTGGTCAAAAGATGTTGCATTGAGGGGAAACGATGCAACAAGAGAGACTTTATGTCCTAAAGTTCAGCAAAATGTAGAATATCTGCATAGTTATTCTTTAATATTTCCATATGTGCACCGTAGTACAGTGAAATCTGTTGCAGCGATGCTCTCTCTGCTCGGGCTTGTTGCACACTGAGCATCATTAGAAACCACATAGACACTCAAATAGGCAGGGACATGGCCCATGATTATTTTGAGCCGCTTTTATTTCAAACTGCCTCCAGCTGAATCCGTTCTGTTTTTCTACTGAACGTGTTGAATGAACGTAAATAAAGTAAACGTATTAGTATTTACAGAACCAATTTCACAAAGAACTGAACGAGGGGACAATTTGTTTCCACAATCTTACTTTTGTCCTTTTTATGTTATTTTAAAATGCTCATCGGAGACGCTCTCGTTATTATGTTATACAGCGACTTTGCCTCTGAGCCAAGTACAAGCCTCTCCGTGTACCGCTTGTGGGGAATACTTTAGATACTATTCATGGCTGAAAATGCGGATAATTCCCCTAAAAAGACGACAGGCGTCATCATCAATCAGAGATAACGTGGCAAAGGACAGTGTAGTAGTTAATATAGTTTCACATTCACATTGGACATGATCATTCTAGAGTGTCTGTCCAGCGTATTTAATCAATATAGTGGATTATAATACTTTTTTATTACATTGCTTAATAAGTATTAAACATACTGTATGTTGCGCTGGATAATATAGTGTTGATATTGTGTGAATACTTCCTATTTTTTAGGAGCCTTTGACTCTGTTTGATCTCGATGAATACCCATTTGTCGGGCAGCTCACATGACACTCATTACAACACCAATGTGGATACTTTCGGTGGTTTGGGTTTGACGCAACTGAAAGGGCGTGTCGGGACATTTGGTCAGGATGCCCCAGGCAGGTACCACATCTCCACAAGAGTACGGGAGCACAGAAAGTCTTCTGGAAAGGAGTTGAAGGAGCATGCTATGAACATTTAGCTTTAGGGTGAATAACTCTCAGCATTTTGTCCAAGATGATAGTTGTTTTTTCTTCAACCTCTCTGAGCTTCATTCTTTGCGTCTCTGCTTCTTGTCATCCCAGAAACGCAGCGGTGGACGGCTTCATCCAGCAGTTTCTGTACACCTATCGTTTCCTCTGCACGCCCAAGCAGTTACTGCAGTTCATAATGGATAAATTCATCGGTGCCGCCAGGTACTGTATGCCGAGTAACTCTCGAATACACAGAAACAAGAGAAAGAAACGAGCGGGAGCATCTCCGCTCCGGCCTCTTGTGTAAACTGAACAACCGCAATTCCCCATCAACCACACGCGGTGCGTGACCACGGCGCTCGTCTTCCCTGGCAGACAAGGTCCAGACATGTCGGGAGACGCCGTGAAGATCTTCCATCGCAGTTTGGACTTGCTCCAGCTCTGGATAACCGACTGTAAACAGGTGGACTTCATGCCGATGTCCGACCTGGTGGACACGTTAGAGCGCTTCCTGAATACCGAGGTAAAGCACTGCAGGACAATTTGTTCTGCACTCTGCGGAGACGAACCGCCAGTCGTAACTGTTTATCAGCTCCGACGTCAACTTTCTTCCCGCCTCTTGTGAAACATTCGATGTCTTCATTCTGCATTTGCCTGATTTATTGTTGTGTTTTTGCCCCCCAGGTGATTCCTTTAGACAGCCGAGGGGAGGCCCTTCTCGCCGCTCTCCACAGCCCCGCTCACAGGACTTTGATCCGAGGAAACCAAGTCAGCTTTGAGGAAGATGATTTTTCTATGTGTTTGCATTCCTCTACTGACGACCTCGGGAGAAAGGTCAGTTCTATACTTTTTGAGGGGATTTTGTTAATAATCACCTGTAACATTTTTATTTTAAGGTGGATTGAGTGTTTTTCTTGTGTTGTAACCCACATGCAACTCCTTCCTACTAAAAGTAAAAGGCAGACACTGAGCTGCATTTAACTCTTCATTGATTCAACCGTTGAGAGACCAAGGTCACCCTTCATGGAACCTGTGTCGATGTGTTCACATCATTCAGAGGGCGTGTCCTGCCTTCTCAAATCTCTTTCTCGCCCCTGCAGTGGAGATTCTCCAGAGCGGTGGAGCCCTCCGCCTCCCTGCCTAAAGACAAGGCCTTCTCCATCGCCGCAGCCCTGCCGGTGCCGTGCCGCGGCTCCCTGGCGGACGACCCCCCCGCCGCCTTCCTGCAGAGTGAGGAGAGACTCCCCTTCAGCCGCAACGAGAAGGGGGCGCAGCACGTGACCCAGCAGCTCACCTTGCTGCAGCAGGTAGGTAGACGGGTCCAATCGCCACACCTGGCACTCAGGTGGTCGTTGTCTCTCGTTGCCACTAGGGGGAGACGCGCCTTTACAACTCCATTGAGAGACCCTTACGTTTACAGACAACTCTGACTAGATGGATGTTGTTTTCGCAGGAGATGTTCAAAGGGTGTCATCCGGTTCATTTTCTCAACTCCAGAATCCAGGGGGTGGGGGGCAAGGTCTCGAGCCCCAACAAGTGAGTGCATTGATCAAGCTTCACATGCTGCACATACTATAGTAAACTTTCAAGGACTTAATGAATGTGAGACAGTGGTGGGCAAATAGCAGAGAGGCAAGTTGCCCTCTTTTTTTCAATCAAAATGCAAAATGCTTTCATTAATTTATGAGTTAAGTCCAATTCTCTTAATCAATATTCCTTTTTTTTACATCTTAACACGATGCGATTCGTGACGTAATGGGAAATTCAAACTGAGGCTACTTTGTTATGTCGGCGAAAAGATCTGAGCTGAAAAGATAATCTTATATTTAAAAAGCTTCACATGTAATCCTACAATAAGCAGGTTTAACAGTTAAATCAATAAATCACTTCAAAGATGAAGTGTATTTCATTTTGTAATTATCACGGATAAATGAGGGAGTAATGTTGATTTTATTATCCCAACATGTTGTTATCCTCTTTAGCACGCTAACATACTAAAGCATCTGAAAGACAGGTCTGTCAGTGAAAGATGTGACCTAAGGGAGTTTAAGGAATGTGGAAAAACTTTTAGCAAACCTCAGTTCAAAAGCCCAAACATTTTTATTGAATTAATATGCTCGACTGCAACAATGAATCGATAATTAACCTTCAAGCTACAACACAGTAATGTATTATTGTTTCAGTCCTTATTTCTGCCCTCCCCACACCAGGAATGTGTCTCTTCACATCCCGCCAGCAGAGGGCAGCAGACTACTGGAGTGTGAGGAGGCACCATCAGACAGCCGCCTCCAGCAGCTGCTGACGTATGCTGACGGTGTGGCCAACTGGATCTCCGCTGAGGTAGTCAGCTGCGACTCCGTCAAGGTGAGAGGGCACGCAACCCATCAAAGGAGACGGGGGCCGCCTGGGGGGGGCAAAGGCAGCCATTACAGCCTCCGCTTTGATTCCTCATCGTCAGACACACGCTCTCAGTCACAGACGTTGCCCTCAGGGACCTTCTGCTGCTTCTCCAGTCTCATGGTCCATAGACAGACGTGTCAAACCTGAACGTTGTCTCTCAAACAGCTGACCAGCTCATTGAAAATGAGTGTATTTGTATTATTATGAAGAGAAATCTGTGCCTGAGCTGCTTACTCAAACTCACTGCTCGACTGTCCCGCTCATTTTGGACATTTCTGCGTGAAATTCAACTTGCGATATCTTTCATACCGACGTGGCAGCTCAAATGCTGCCGAATATTTACACTGGACTTTAGCTTCAACTTCAATTTCAACCACTTTCATCTCATTTTAACTTACACACAAGCTGATCATTCAACTGCTTCCATAAGCAAACACACTTTGTCCAGTAGACCCGCTTCATTATGCAGCCTGCTCTAAAAAAGCACGCCGTCGTGGATATCTTTTTAGACTCGTTGGCCGTTATTCATTACACGCTCTCCTCCCTTGCAGACGCAAGTTGCTTTGCTGACCAAGTATCTATGGGTGGGAAAACACTGCTACGAGGCGAGGAACTTCGCCACGGCCATGCAGGTCCTCGGAGGTCTGGATAACGTGATTGTCAGGCAATTACCAGTAAGGCTGCATCTCATGAATACTCCTCACACAAACCCGTGACTTTCTGCGAAAAGTTGGATGCCCTACAGCTAAATGTTTTGTATAGCTGTGATAGAATTGGGTGCTGTTTAATTAACTTCACAAATTAGAAAGTTGCATTTATGCTTTCAAATGAAATGTAGAAAGTGCAAGCGCATTGAGGAGTGTGGGCCGTCAATATGAGTAATTCAAAAAAAAAAAAAAAGATTAGACGCTGTTTAAAATATATAATTTGTTACATTTCCATATTCCCACGGGTTACATTCATCGGCTCTTGTTGCATTGTGTAATTACTCTTCCTTTTGGAGCTTCACCACTAAATAAAACTTTCTCCCTTTTTGCCAACAGGCTTGGAAACATCTGTCTTCCAAGGTGTGCGAGATCCTGGAGGAGCTGCGAGCTGTGCAGGTGTGTGTGTGTGTGTGTGTGTGTGTGTGTGTGTGTGTGTGTGTGTGTGTGTGTTTGAGCAAGCACACTCGTATGTTGTTTGTAACTGAAAGCCTGGCCGGTCACATATTGTGAAACTGGGCTGCAGGGCAAACAAATCAATAGAAAAACAGCTCGGAGCTACTCGCCTGTGTGCTGAGAGCTGACAGCTGCCTCTGCATCTGAAAGTTACCCCCAAAAGAACCTGCTGCATCGAAGGCATCGAACAACACGCGTCACCCTGCTGGAAACTTTCCTGCCATAAAGGGAACCATCGGCGCTGAAATGTAGAGCGGTTCAATTTGTTTCTTGTGATTCTTTCAACCGCTACATCGCTGGTGATTACTGATCCGTCGCGGGGCGTTGGAAATGATTTCTTCCCCGCGCAGATGAATATGGCTCTCCTCAGGTGTTCCTGAAGAGTGACGACCTGTGCCTGATGGGGGGAGAACACGCGAGGAGGAGGCCCACCCTGCCGTCGGCGCACATCCTGGCCATGCACGTCCAGCAGCTGGAGATCGGAGCCTTCACGCTCACTACTGGAGCTTACAAGTGGACCAAGCTCAGGTAAGAAGGGGGGGGGGGGGTGTGATCCAAATGATGATAAAAAGTCCCATATTTTACACTTCTAGAGCACCGATCCGTAACTTGATCTGGCTGCTAACAAGACAGATTTGCTTTTGTTCTCCTACGCAGCAAGAGGACTATTTTGTGATGACATTTTAGTCAAGTGGGTGGGGGTCCGGTAACTTATATTTGATCAATCATTGATTGATTTTGTAATGTAATAAGCCCCTATAATGCAATTTAAACAACCGATCCTTTACTCCTTTCCTGACAATGAGACAATAAAGTGAGCTCATGCAGACGGCCAATTGTTGATTTATGCGACAAGTTCTCTTCCAGAATAGTCACTTAACTTTGCTGGTCTTAATGTTTATATTATATTATTAATAGCGTAAGGCATTATTACTACTAAAATGTGGAATTTTATCAGCAGTGGTCATATCATTTGAAATAATACATACAGTTGATATTGGAATTACAAATCTGTGTCAAAGAAAACTGAACCGATATTGTTTATTTCTGATTTATTGAACCTAATATAGATATATAAGTCTAAAGGTAGTGACGTAGGGAAACAATTCCACAACATTATAACTCTAGTGATTGTCTTAGAATTCCGTCACTAGAAACCACTGAATATCTCGCTGAAATGGACACACAGCCAGTGGAATTAGTGCTACACGTCCTTGTCAGTGGCCCCGCATATTAACGGTCGGTTTCATTACCTGAAAATCTATGACAAAGTCGGCCAACTAGCTACGAGGACACATTTTCCCGTGTCCTTCTCCTTCACTCCAATATGGCCAACCAGATGCTGAGGTCACAACAAGTGGCGGTTTGATGGTAATGGCACAGCTGTTGGATTTGGGTTGCTGGTCGGGGTTCCTGTGCGGCGACAGATGGCACACGTGGGATGCGGTTTGATTGGAAAAAGGAGGTTTTGGGCCAGATGCTGAGAGGCGGCGGGCTGTAGCCAGATGCTGGGCTCAGGAGATCTAACAGGGAGCGGCAGAGACGCAGCTGGTCGCTGTGGACTCGGGGTCGTCCCTGCTCTCTCCAAATGAGGTCGCTGACAAAACCGATGCTGCTGCCAGGAAGGAAATAAGCAGGATCGCTTTTCATGTTTTCACTTTTCCTTAATTTATTCCCATTCCGTGCTCTGGTCCATCCCTCCTTGGCTCAAGGAGCATAGCAAAGGTTGTGAGTCAGGTCCACGCCTTCCAGGAGGCTGTGTACCCCTACAGCCCCGACCCGGAGCTGCAGGCCTACCTCCGGCGCCGCATCGCCCGACTCGCCACCTCTGACATCCACCTCTTGGCCGCCGAGAACGACAGCAACTTCCATCAGTCCAGCGAGCGCCAAACGCGGAGGATCCAGGACCAGCTGAGGAGGGTCAAGGCCACTTTCCAATGAGCCCTGACCCAGTGACGCGTCAGAGCCCAGAGCGAGTCCCCACTCGCTTGCACGGCCACACTGAGGCGTAGACCCTCTGTCTTGGAGAACTGGAAAACTTTGTCAAATGTCCAGAGTTGGTCAAGGGGCCCATAGCTAATGTCAGTAAATCAGTTCATACTCTCGGGCAAACTTTATTTAAAAACCCCAAGAGGTAGTTTGCCACAGTTAATATTAGCAATTTGGGGGAAGATTTTCATTTTCAATGATTCTTGACTCATATACAGACATTTTTAATCATTATTTGTGATTGATCTGACACAGAAAACTTGGGAAAGTGTGTCATTCAATCAGGGGAACATTGGGGAGATTTCATAGAAAAGTGACTGATTTGGGAAGCGAGACAAACCTGTATTTAATTTAAAGTGTTTATTGATCAGATATTTTGCTAACATACAAAGTGTAGTTGCTCTTTATTGAACAAATGAGATTTATAGGACTATTTGTAAATTGATATCTCAATTTAAATCCCATTCAAACAGCAAATGGTGATGTGATTTATTATCAACAAATGTGTCATGCAGGGCCAAAGCAATGCCTCTGTCAGAGAAAAAAATACAACCTAATGAGATGTCATTGAGGGAGGATGCTCGGTTTTTCTATTTTCTTGTTCTCTCTCCCTCTCTGCCTCTCTCTCTCTCTCTCTCTCTCTCTCTCTCTCCCCTCTAACGGTCTTCTGCCACCAAGCACACTGGAGATGGAATGGAAGATTTGCTTAATTCAGGCCAAATAAATGCGATTTTATAAGCCACCTCTTGCCAAAGTGCGTTAATGTCAGACGGTGTCCATGGTTCCGTGGCAGGTTACACAACAGTGGTCTGTTTGGGAATGTGAATTTTTTTTAAGGGCGCTCTCGTGTAGGGAGACAAAGTACAGCATTGTGAACTTTAACGTGCTTTCTGGCATTTGCTCGCCTTAATCTTCAGTGGAGGATTCGTGTAATGGTTACGTTGTATTTCAAGCCATTAAGACGATTGCATGTGCAAAGCTGAAGCACCTTAATGTTTCAGCTTGCACATCTGATGAAGAGGATTACATACATTTTTGTGTCAAATGGTCTGTTATAGTTGTTATACTGTCATAGTTTAATAACTTAAATCAAATTGTTTGTATTTGTGATTTGAGAGGGTGGTGCATCAGAGCAACTCCAACACTGATGTCAGTCATTTTGAATGCAAATTGACTGATTATGGCTATTTCAAGCGGGTATTTCTAGTTGTACTATAAATAAAGGACTGACTACACCACTTCTTGTAGGACGTGTTCATGAATAACCCGCATAGCTCACATCAAGAAATACAGTTATTTTTTATTTTTTATATGTATTCATTTAAATCCAGCCTTTGGTGAATCTGTCGAGATTAGAATAGAGTCTCTTCTTTCCCCTGCGGGGGACAGAAACTGAGAGCTCATGCGGGCAGAGTTGAGAAAATCGCCGCAGTGTGAAAGCGACGTCCCGGGCGGCTTTTTTCTTTTCCATTGTTATCTAAAGGCATCAGGGTTCATCTTCAAAGCGTCGGAGATAAGAGGGGGGGGGGGGGGGGTCCGAGGGGGAGTCCTGCCTCCGCCGCGACAGATCACCGATAGAGGAGACGACAAGGCCCCATGTCTCTTATCTGCTTTTGTCGCACAACTAAACGATCAATTTAGCGCCATTGTCCCCAAAGTTGCCGCACGCGGAGATCGCACAAAAAAGAGGTCTGGCCGGGGCCCTCGGTTTATGTGCCCCCCCCCCATCCCCCCATCCCAACAGACACGACGCGACCCCGCCAGTCAACGTGGTGAGACAGATCTGATGACAACTATATATAAATCTCTCTCTCTCTCATCTGTAGTTAACACCTCTCAATGTGTGCAGCCTCTGGTTTGTGAGCCAATTGAATGATTATGGCGTCCGTCTGCTGTCCCCCCCCTCAGACTTCCTCGCAGCTTGTTTTGGCGCATTACCATGTGAACGGCCCGACAATCAGCCGTAATTGTGTCGCTACTGTAATGCCTTTGATCCGCAATGTTTGAAGCGCCTGTGCCAAACGCTGGCTCGCGGGTCGCCGGCGCCAGCGCTCACCGGGGAATCCGAGGCATGTCGATACGAAATCCATCCAGGGGGGGGGGGGGGTCGGACCCCCACCCATTTGATAGTGCAGAGGTAGACTACAAGGGAATAGCTGAGATGCATCATTTGGCACAGATCGAGTCCCCCCTTATCACTATTACAGGATTAAGTGCTCACATTTGGAGCATCGCCTTAATCTCCCCTATATGAGTCTGTGGAATAAATTTGAACTCAAGTTAAATAAACCACGCTGACAAAATACTGCATCAAACCATACATAGTCCATATTGCATCTATAAATATTGGCAACACGATCTGCGACTCAAGGTATCACCAATCAGAACAACCTTTATTGATCACGTGTGCTTGTTGTGGTTATATTTTGAGTTGCGCGTTACATTTTAGACAACTTATAACAACCTATAACTCCTAATTACGGTTGTGAAATAGTCCGGAAAAATGATCAATTATACTTTAGCTCAAACGCAAAAGTACCTCAACGTTGGGCTGGAGTTGCAATAAGGCTTTGGAGCGTAAGAGAGACACTGGATCAGTCATGGAAAAGTTAAGTTTGATTGTCTAAAGTGAGAAGAAGACTGGTTATTCTGACACCTCTGCCCCGGTGTTACTGTATGCAGCAGCATGAAAGCGCGTCTCCACCTCTGCAGCAGACACAGCTGTTTCTGCAGTGCCCCCCCCCCCCCCCCCCCTGGTTTCAGTCGGGGCGGGAAAATGTATGAACCTAGGAGGGTTCTCACAGACTCGGCGGCGCCCGGTCTTTACACACTCACAGGATATGTAAAGACTTCAATAACGAGCCATTTACCCCTAATCATTGGGATCGATCGGGCGTTAACAAGGGCCTCTACATATGCAAATAGAAAGCCAAGGAGCCGGGGCTCTATAAAAGCTGGCCCCGGAGGAGTGGGAGCCGCAACCCCACACACAGACACACACGCCCTCTGACATTTGGTGACTGCACAGGTCTCTCAGCAGCACTGACAACAATGGTGAAATACTTCTCCGCCGACTGGTTGGCGCAGAGCCACAGCGCACCGACCGAGGGACGCGGTGCCGGCGCGGACACCGCGCCGACCTGCAGGCCACACGTGCCCTGCGTGGTGCAGCCGCGCCCGCCAACTTTTGGCAAGGGTTACCTGCAGCCAAAGACCAAGGCACCAAAGCCCGATGAGCACGCGGAGCGCGTGGAGAGCAAAGGGCACGACTCCAGCCGGTGCTCCCCTTCCCATCCAACGAGCTGCGCCTCTCCGAGTAAGTACAGCTCTTAAAACGGCCTGCGACTCCTAAACGTTTACACCTCGCGTTTGTCTACGCGTAAGCAGGGGTTTGTTTGTTAACGTTTTTTTTGTTTTGTTTTACCCCTCCAGTTTCAGAAATCAGCGGTTATTCCTCCGGGTACGAGAGCGAGGCGGCCTCTTCCGAGTGCCTCTCCGTGGACGAGGGAAGCGACGCGGAGAAAGACGCGCCGCTGCGCCGCGTGCGCACAAAGTTTAGCACCGAGCAGATCAGCAAACTGGAAAAAATCTTCCACAAGCACAAATACCTGGATGCCGGAGAGAGAGTGAAGACGGCCCAGAAGCTGAAACTCACAGAAACTCAGGTAAGAATCGACTCTCGGTGTAAACGACCAACCCGCTTGCATGATAAAGAGACGCAGTGGCCTGATTCTGCCTAACGCGGGATACTAACGTTATATTGTTTTTCTCTCAGGTGAGGACCTGGTTCCAGAACAGGAGGATGAAGCTGAAACGGGAATTTCAGGACTACCTCGCTCCCCAAATGCCACCGCTGTTGTTCCAGCATCTACCGCCGGTTCACCACTACAGCAACGCCGCCGGACAGCGGCCCCAATACCCCGCGGCCGGCCAGGCCTTTTACCCGTCCCCCATCCCGCAGCTGGTCCTCCAGCGGCAGATGCACGCACACCACCAACCCCACCCTCATCTCCTCATGCGGAACCCGCATTTCTACTGAAACACTGCCGAACAGAGACTTTTCTGACCGAAACACTTAGAATCTAACCAAGTGCAATCCAGATTTTTTTTCATTTGATATGTGATTCGTTTTTATTTTTATTGGATGCAAATATATATATAAGATGTATATATTACAAAAAAAAGTATATTTATAATTGAATAAAGTTTAACTTCTATACCTGGAGCACTGGACTTTGCCTTTTATCTGCGTTGCTTACTCGGGACGTTAATGCAGGCCTACAGCCGCAGCGCTGGATTACTCCAAGATAATGGTGATGACATTATCTCTATTGCAGGATCAGTTCAACGAGAATGGATCATCCCTTCTTTCATCTTAAGGCGAGAGGTTAAAAGAAAGAACTGTTAGACTTGGCTTTTGACCATTATCACAACTCATTGTATGGATCTCTTACAATATCAAGATAAGAGGCCAAAGCTCGGCCAAACCAATCCATAAAGAGAAATCATGATAAACCAAGTCACCGAGGATTGTCGATACTGTTGAAAGAAGAAAAAAAACACGGACTTCACTATGTTTTTGTGCCTCTTATACAGACCTTTTTTTAACCTCTCAACAAATAACAGCCAAATGCCCCCCAGGTCCTCCAATCTCTCTTCAAACGGCAGCTAAGATCACAGTTAACAATTAATCCTTATTAAGCTGCTTTATTGATGACTTCACACCCACCACAGGAGCCCTCTGGTCCGGCTCCAGACATTCTGTGTGTTTGAAGTCCCGCGGTTAGTATCTGATGGTGTGATGAGACTTTGAGATGGACACACTTTAAACTAACCAAAGGTTATATATTTTCAAGCTGCAGGTCCGCATGAACCATGTTAATTCTTGATGCAGCCTAAATAATGTCTTGAAACCCGACAGTATCATCATCGTCATCATCGGGGGGGGGTTTCAAAGAGCTCAAAGGCCTCTCAGCAAATGTCTCAATCAAATGGAGTCTACAGATCAAACAGAGGTTTTTCACTTTCTCACATGCAGACACACCCACAACGTCCCACCCAAACAGAGGCTTCAGCAGACAGCCAGGCACTCCCATCTAAACTGAAATAAATAATCCAATCACATATTAGGTGGTATTTTGATTTGAGTAAAGATTATTGTTTCTTTTCTCTGCACAACAAGAACAGTTGGTTTGGTCAACAAACACAGCAATTAAGAAGTATTTTCTCTTGACATTCTTTTTGCTAATGTGGGTTTCAATGTTCACATTTTTCATTGCGAAAGAACGGCTGTATGAGACTCTCATGAGGAAGCACTTTGCACCCATCTGAAGGCTGCAGTTAAACCGTCTGTCCCATTTGCAAGCTCTCAATGGAGGGAATTTGTGTACCATTTAATTTAGCCACAGGGTGTGTGCGACCAGCATCAGGCTGTTGGAAGATACGCACACAACTCTTCTACTGCTCCTCTCTGCTCTATCAAACAAGATATGACCTTTTATTAATTATTCATCATTTTTCTTCTGCTCCTCGTCAGGCGTATTTGCAGAACGGCCGTGTATCATGACGAGGATAGCTCTGTTAAATTATTTCTTATCCTGTGCTCAAGTGCGCCACAAAGGTGCAAAGGGAGACTGGCCACCAAATTACCAGAAGAGTGTTTGCCTTTAGGTCTGTAGGTCATTGTGCGTATGCTATTATTCGAATAGTTACCTTCTTTTTTTTATATGCCTCTTTCATGGCCATCCCACAATCCCTGAAAAGCTGTATTCCTTTGTTCTGTATTCATCTTTATTCTTGCGCTCATGGCATTCGAAGTACACACTCATCCACAGTGTGGTGTGAAACATGGAGATGTGATTCATTTGTGTCGAGTGGAACTTCTGAGTACGACCAACTACCCAACCAGCCGAGTAGCATAGGACCTCCACAGAACAAGAGGTGGTGGATATCAATGATGCCTGTTGATCAAACATAGCAATGTTGATGGACAATGTTCACCTGAGTTTTCAATGCAGAGATGACAGCCATAAATGGTGGTGTTGCTGCTGTTGTTGCTGTTCTTTCTTCTGATGCACATTTTTTTAAATGCAGGAAAGGAACACCAAAAAGTTTTGGCTTGTTGGTGATCGTGTTTATGTTTAATGTATGATTAATTAAAAAATATATTGGAGACTTCTATAAAATGTCATCATCAAGTGCACACGTAGTCGCAACATACAGTAAACCTTTCACGTTGAGGTCACTGTATTAGTTATTGCTATATCCATACATTGTATGCAGGGCACTGATGTGTTTAAGCCATTGCTGGCTAAGATAAAAAGAAGTAGATCTCACAGATACTCACGTCAGTGTTGACGCAGTCATTCCAGTGCTTCTGTTCAGGGTAAATTGCAGATTCTAATCACTGATCCTCAAGTTTCTGTCATGGTCTTTGTTTTATCTGAGCTCCCAGCAGCTTTTGCCATCATCTACGAGACCAGTCTCATTGGTTAGGGGGATCAAGCCCTTGGTTGCATATTTTCCTCTACAAGCGTCAAAGACTCTTTATCATACAACTTTATCATTACATATCATCTGTATATAATAATAATAATAATAATTATGAATGAGTCTTACGTCTGACTGATCTCTCCTTATTGAGCTTCTGCAGCTCCACAAATGTCTATGGCAATGATTGATGTTATTCATTAAATATGTGCCTTTTTCCATTTATTAATGTGGTTTATTGTTGTTAAATAGACAAAACCACAAAGTTTGGAATGTAATTGCTACAAAAGGGCTTACTGAGATCAATAAATGACATCTTAGAAGCACACAAAGAGTACTGGGAACAACAGGCAACTGTCAGCATTGCAGTAAACAGGAAACAATCAAACACCTCATCATCCATTGTCCACAATACAATTATTACAGGGAAATCCTCCTTGAGAAAGAAATATTAGGTTTACGTTCACACAACTGATACAACTTAAGTCACAACATGTAGTTTATAGGGAAATATTAAAATATCTAGAAAACACTGATACATAAAATATAGAGATGCAATAGCACTGTGTGCTCTTCAGTGCACACTCCTTTCCAGAAGATGGCGGTAATGCACACCAGAAAGTTGCTTGCCAACCACCAAAGAAGAATAAACGCCATCGGTCAGTTGGAGATAACTCCTTCTGTGTGGAGTGGCCCCCGATAATTGTCGCAGCCTTTGCAGAAGCCCAGGGGGTCTCATTTAAACCCATCGCGTACTTCGCACAAACGTCGTGATCTTAAAAAAACAACATTTGACAGGTGAATGTGCACACCTGTACGGAAGCTCTGACCGACACAAGCATTCTGGAGACAGGGGGCGTCTCCAAAAGACACAAGCTCCCGACGTTGTCCGTTAACGTGTTACGCTGCTGACAGGCTGCAGAAGCACAGCTTCAACTAACTTCAGTCATATCACACACAAGTCCGCTGGGACAAGGTGACGTTATCTTTACACGTAGAAGAAACATCCCGATGGTAGAGCGAAGCAGACTTAACTTGCTTCCGGTTTGTGAGACTGAGGTGACCTCGTGAAAGCGGTTTAGGAATGGAAAAGCCAGAAAGCTGCTTTCACTGTAGACAACAGTGCTGTCAAACCATGATGCGCATATATTCCTGCAGTTACGGTACCGGTGCCCGAAAAGCCACGAAACACCAATAAAGACTATTACAGCAATAAGACATAAGACATATTTTTTATTACCACATGAATCGACATTATACTAAACACCATAATTCAAATAAGACTCGTTATGAAACCCTCATTATGAAACGGTTTACTGAGAAGAGAAGATTGTTATTATCCTTTATTCATCAGCAAAAGTATTTTTACTGCCAGCTTTTTTTTTTTCAATTGCACATTTTATTTGCCACAATCACAGTTCTAGCTCCATCTTAAATTATCAACAGGGCTGAACGGGGTCTGTTACAAAGTAACATTTTAAGATCAAATACTTTGAAATCTGAATGCATTCAGCCAATGGCACAGTAGCACTCAAAGTCTCCCACAGACAGATTCTCGATAACTGTCCTTCAAATCGGATATTCTAATTAACCGCTTTGTATTTAGGGGATATGGTGTCGGATCACTTTATGCAGGGATCATTCAAGTCTGATGAGGTGCCATTTGAAACTCAGACTTACTGGTGCCAGAGCCTCTCAGCCAGGTGAGAAAAACCACAACCGAGCCTCTATTAACCTCAATCACAACGACCATCAAGTTTTTATCGTTCCGTCGAGAGCACTTTGCATATGCAAATATAGAAGTGTGCCCCTCCTCCGTGTAGCGGCCGGGAGACACTAAAGGGGGGACAACAAAACACCTCGAGATCACTACTTGGATACATCATGGCAAACTTCTCTGTTGAGTGGCTTTCCAAAAGTTATTATGAAGATTCCCTTCTTCCTTCAAAAGTCCACGGAAGATCGAGGGACTCCCCGACTTCACCGAACGGTAACTTCACCAACGACCTTCGTCACAAGCGCGGAGATCACAAAAGTCTTTATAAGGGTTTTGATCTTTAACTAATCAAGCAGCATTTTCTTTCTTTCAGATAGTTGCGGTTACGCGTCGGGGTCCGAGAACGAGGTGGGGGATGACAGCGAGTGGGAAGCCACCCAGCAACGAAGGATGAGGACCAAGTTCAGCTCCGAGCAAGTCAGAAAACTGGAGAATGCGTTCGGCAGGCACAACTACCTGGGCACTATGCAGAGGAGGAGGATCGCTGAGAAGCTGAACCTCTCCGAAACGCAGGTGGGTTTAGGTTTCCACCGGTTACATGGGGACGGTGGAGGCCTGCGGCTACATGTTACACATCTCCAGGGATGTCAGAACAACATGAGTGACAGTTGATGTTCACTACTCGGGATCAATAGCCCTGATGTGGGTATTATGTAAACTACAAAGTGCAGGCATACAGGAATCTTTTTATTTAGTTTTTCCAGTATAATAATCACCACAATTCACAAGTGAGGACATCGATCCTTCGTTATAATCGCCTCCTTGTGTTTCCAGGTGAAGACGTGGTTTCAAAATAGGAGGATGAAGCTGAAACGGGAGAACCTGTACCTGCGTCCCGAGCTTCCCTTCCCGGTCGTCCTGTTGGCGCCTGTGCGCTTTCAGCACCCCGCACTGGGTGGACAGCTCCCCCCCGGCGGCAGCGGCTTCTACCCGCAGCTGGATCCGCTCCACAGGGCCGTCCTGCCCGCTGCCGCTGTGCCCCAGCGCTGCTCCCACCCAGTCACCATGCCCCCATACTTCTATTGACCCCCCCCCCTCTCCCACTCAAAGTTGTATATATAATGCATGCATGTTTGAAACAATTTAAAGCGCTTTCCTGCAAATATTATATCTTCTATTTCACACAATAAAAACATAATTTTAAAGCACATTTTAAAATGGGTCTGATATTATTTTAAGTTATAAATGGACCATGTGGGGTTTTGGCCATGTGTTGCAACGTTCACACATTTGTTGATGTGAACTTTGACAAAAATGAACAAACAGCATGATTGACATCGTTCTGTAATTTATTCTCTCTGTTTCTCCGACTATTTTGTCTTTCAATCGTTGCCATGATAGACCAGCAAATTACATTACATTACATGTCATTTAGCTGACGCTTTTATTCAAAGCGACGTACAATAAGTGCATTCAACCATAGGGTACAAATGACCGTGCAGTTCTCTTACTCTCACTTAATTAATATATTATACAGCCACGAGTGAAAATGCCCGGTGGGTTTATGGTGTTACATTTCTGAGCCAACCTGCGTCTCAGGCTGAGACTAAATGTTTGGCGTCTGGTGGAAGAGCTGCGAGCTGTGTTCGCTCTCAGTTTATTGTAGACGTGTATCTTCAAAAGGACATCAAAGCGGAGGTAACTGGCAGATCATTGAGATCCATCGAGCTCTATTGTCTCCTGATTGAACACTTCGCACCCACTTGGGAGACGCGGGGGGGGGGGGGGGGGGGGGGGGGGGGGTAGCGGCGCCCGAGAGTCTGTCCGAGGTGTATATTGCCTCACGTCAGAGTCATTAGTGTGGCACCAGCTAAACGTTTAGTGAATTCAGTCATTCCGTCAGGTCTTCTTCTCTTAATATTTGCAGAGATTCAGAAATGGAAAGATGTGCTGGATTGTCTATGACGTACATTTAAATGGGGAAATAAATACTAACACCTCCCACCAGGAGGCACAACGATCAAAGAAGAATATTAGGATTCCATCCATCGGTTAAGGAGGAGGTCATTTTTAATCTAAAGGCTAACTGCACCAGTATCCACTTATGTATCTATGCAGAGCACCAGACAGCGCAAGGCCTCAGTCTGCAGCATTAACTGAGACACTTCCCGACACTGACGGCAACATGAGCATCAATAAATGATCATTTGTGAGTGAGGAGCATGTGATATCCTGAATGACAATGAGGGTTTCACTGATGCTTCTGAACCAGGTGAGTGGAGAGGTGGAGAGGTGCCAACAGCCCCGCTAAAGCTGCATCTGGACGGCAGGGACCGGACTCAAAGCTGGATGACGGGAGAGGTCAAAGGTTGTGGAAAGTAACGTGCAATTTGACATATTTTGGTAATGTGCTTTTGACATATTTGTACTTAAAATTCCCATTTGATTTGACTTTGCAAGTTACATTTCCACATCAAACTGACACATATCACAATGCAATATATTAAAATAAATATTAAACCAGTGGTCTCTAGCTTACCGACTTGTCACCCTAAAAGCTCCATTTCACATTTTAGAATCAGTTTATGAATTCCACTTTTTCCACCAAGCACACATTTCCCTTCTTAACTTATCAGGTTGTTTCATTTTGATAATTGTTATTAAGTTGTCCAATTTTCTTATACAATGAGTCAGTACAAAGTCCACAAAGTGTGCAAAAAGTTGCTGAGCAGAATCTGCACTAGGATTCTCTTTTTGTTCCCCAGTCCATTCCTCATCTCAATGCCCCTGAGATTTGTCTGGTGACTCCAAAACGGGTCTCGACCCCCAGGTTTAAACCACTGTGATAAACTACCCGAGTGTAAGCAGTAACTTAGTTAAGCTCTAACTTTACCTTGAGCAGCTACACCAGTCAAATATGACTTATGATACAACATATTTCAATATACATGGAGACCTGCTGTACTCTAAGTGCACTTTTTTGCTGACACTTTCACTGGAGCATCATTTTTGATTTATAGTTCTGTATAACTTTGACTTACAATGTAATATGTAACTTGTTGATTTCCACAATGGCCTTTTATTTGGATCCTTTCATTAAGAGTGATTATGTGCCTCATAGAAAATCAAATGAGGGCTTTAATAGATCATAAGCTATTGGATGGTAACAAAATGGTGTTTCATGATGGTTTTCAAAAAAAGTTGTGTTTTATGGGGGATACTGTTGCCCATCAGTTGCCAAAATACTTGCTTAGTGTATCACCACCCTACTTTGACTATGTGTGAGTAAAAATATATAAAAAAATAAATGTCTGTGTTGTTGCAAACAAAAACCCTGTTACATATATTCATAATGCATTAATGTCGAATCCAGAATGTAATGCCAAGACTTCTTTATTCATTAAAAGTAGCAAACAAATGATTCAGAATAAAACAGGGTGAAATGATGTTTTAACAACAATGAACAACAATGTTGGAAAGAAAGACAAAATACTGTGAACATATACTCTGTATATATACACTTTATTGTAGTTAGATCTCTGAATCATCTGTAGGGAAAGAGCTCTATCCATTCACCTAAAATCACTCCGTACATGTATAGTGAAATTTGAGGGTTTTGAGTCATTGTTATTTCTCACAGGGACGTTCAGAATATTTTTCCACTACAGATATCACAGAATTTATGTGGAAACGATACCACAGAAAAACACCGAAACACAAAAATCACCAGTCTACACTACGCCCTCTTCCTCCAGACAGTGAGTCCAAGGAGCACGGTGCGAGTGTGTGCGTTTGTGTTCGCTTTGAGGTCAACTGTCATGCGAAGACGATGATGAAACGGCTGTCGGCCCGGTGGAAAACCTCTGCAGCCCCATTTTCCCATGCCCTATACCTCTTTAAAGTTACATCTGAAAAAGGTATATGCATAGGAAAAAGGAACAGCGAGTGTAAAGAGCCCCATTGCCGGCTGCACGCTGGAAGCTGGAGGGGGGTGGAGGAAAAAAAAAGGTCAGCGACTGCATGGACAACAGATGAAATATTCTCTCTTTGCAGCAGAAATAAAATAACATGCATTATTATTTCTTTCAAAATAAACCTGTTAAAAGAAACAAATCATGACACATTCCACAATAGATATTGGTCCTCCTGTAGTGCTGTTTATCAAAATCGTTTCGGTCTTAGTAGTTGATTATTGAAGATATCAATTTGTGGATATGTCTTCCTTCTCCAGGAAACAAAGGGATATGGCACCTTTGGAAAACCTTAAATGCGATGCCCTTTCCCAGCAATCATGTCCCGGTTACTCAAGAGAATCCACAACCTCGCAGTGAGCCGTTTCATGTGGGACGCCTGGTTGAAAGAAAATGTTTCTTACTTGGAGCTGCTCTCAGTAAGGTCTGTTGATTATCTTGAGTGAGTCAATCATGATTTCTATAAAAGTGATCAGTACCTTTGAGCAACAAAAGCCTATATTGTCCCATTGTATTGAAGGGAAGGCAGACATCAGTATGGAGGATATCTCCAAAACCAGGCAATAAGATACGACAAATATAACTAAGAGTACAAACATGTACTTTTGATTTTGAGGTGAACTCACCCATTAAGTTTGGAGGATTTTTCTGTAGTTTCCAACAGCAAGAAAATAAATAAATCAAATGGATGCATGAAGTGAATGAGGTATGAAGAGGACTTACCCTGCAACGCTCCAGACGAGTCTCTCCCAGAAAGGCACCTCCTCTTGGCCATTTATCCCTCCGCGGGGACCTTGAAGATGTTTGAGGAAGACAGTGTAGCTATTGTCTGCGCTCACTCAACACTTATCCTCCCTCCTTGGTTTTGAGCCACGGCGACACACCTGTGGACGCCACAGATGCCTCTTGACGGGAAAAAAAATGGAAAAACATTTAAACGCCTGTGCAAAGTTCATTGTCTGGTTACTGTGGTCGACTGTTATAGTTATTATCTCCACATGCCGTAGACGTCAGAGGCAGCGCAGGGAACAAGGGAAACATTCGGCACGGCTCGTTCCTGCCGGTGGAGAGAAGTTTCTTATCTGCTCAGGGTTTTTGTTTAGTTTTTGCTGCCTCTCTCTCTCCCAGAAGAGGGGCCCCATGCCTTTTGGCACTCAAGGTCTCCAGACAAGGACTCTCAGGGTGTGCTGAAGTGAGGCGCTGACACACACACACACACACACACACACGCACACGCACGCACTCACGTAAGTGTGTAGTGGAGGGAGTGCTGTGGCATGTCAAGGCCATGTGCAGCCAGGCGGAGATGAAACTATGTGTTCTTCGCTCCGGGCCTATGAGTTTGCACCTGTAAAAGCAGCGGACATACATCACAGAGTTTAGTAGAGGGAGATCTATCTCCGATGATCACGTTGGAGCAGCCGAGGTCACCCAGCACCGCACCAAGCCGGCAACACATCTCATTACCTCCGGGTCAAAAAAGCGGATGAAGAGTTTCGATGCCCGGGTATTTAGTGAGATCGCCTTGTGTTTTGCCCCAACTCAATCGTGGAGGAGGCTGATAATGGCTGTAATGCATAAACAAATGAAGAAGTACTACTACACTAAACAGCTTCTATTCAAAAAGCAAAATCAAAGGCATATTCACATAAAACAAAAGCAGGGCCGTGAATCACAGCTCACGTCACACTGAAATAAAAGCCAAAGATTCGTACTCCCACAGTTTAGATTCAGATTCAGGAAGAACAATGTCAGCTGTCTGTTTTGGGAAGAATTGTGGTCAACTCTCTTGATTTGTCAACTTTCTTTGAAATGTGGGACATGACCCTGAAATACTGTGAACAAAGGATTGAAACAAAAGCCTCAAATAGTGGATTTTTTATGTGTTCATCTAAGTAAGGGAAGACTATGTCATGAATTCATTCTATTGTACCCATTTGTGTTTCTATGCATTGCACGAGTTGTCCAGGGTTCCTGCATTGTGCTGTGAAGAAATATTCCAACAGCTTTTCTTTAGCTCTGGATGTGGATGACTATGTGTGACTGTGCATATGATATTAAACATGTTATCCATTTAATGCCGTATTACTAGTGACATTTTTGAGGAGTATTAAGACAGTGGCTTTACCTGTGCTAAACAGACTAGACTATTATAACAATATTATACAACATAATATAAATCCCACAAGCTGCCACTTGGTGGTAGCAGTTTCCAGCCTTGACTGGCAGCAGGCAGAGGTCAACCCTATTTGTATACAGTATAATGTAATTGTAGTGTTAGTGTACTACGGTTTGCAGAGTATGACTGTATGATGAGTGGCCCAAACAGAGGCTGCACTGAAGTCTAACACCCGTGCTGACAGTATCGGAGCGGTGCTGCGAGCCGTGCCCTTCTGGGGAGATAAACACAAACTATTTGATCAAGGTCCGATGAGCAAGGGCATATTTGTGCTCTGAAGGCAGGAGTGTGCAGCAGTCATGGAGAAACCTGCAATATTTAACGTACTTATGCATTAAATCCAAGGTACAGTATCCCCCTGTGCTCTGAGAAACAAACCGCAAAAAAAGAAAAAGAAAAGAAGACAAGTGTAATCTAATAGAGCATTTCCTCCCCTCATCAAAACGTCAGACTCGTTTCCTCCGTGTCTCATGGGGAGATGCTTTTAATTGGGAACACTTTAACATGCAGCTTTTGAAACTCTAGTCTTCGTTTTTTTGTAGTGTTTCATTTGAGTGGAGCACATTTTGCAGAGTTAAGCAGAAAAAAAGGCAACAAAAGCATCTTGTTCCTATTTGGGCATCTGCCACGGAGCAGGAGCGAGGTTTCTCCGCACGACACTCGGTTTAAATATTTTGTGGTAACATTGACGAGAAGAACTGAATAAGCTGAATTATTTCTATTGCCAGCAAAGCATTTACCATCATTTGCGAATTATTCTGAAAATGTCGGTGCCACTTTATTTCCTGATAAAACGGGACACGTAAGTGCTAAAACTCATTTTGCACGTGAAATTGTATCCAGCAGTTTCATAACATTGAGCTTTAGAGCCTCACAGAGCTGCTGGTGTGACTGTTGATTCTTCTTTTAGTTAAAGCTGCCCTGAGACGATAGGAAATCGATTGCTCAACACGTATTAACTTTGGGAAAACAAAACATTAATTACAGTGAACAATGACTGATAACTGACGTTATCTCCCATGCAAACATCACAGGGCCAAAGTCATTTATAGACAAAGAATGCATCCAGTAGCTGATGAAGTGCTTCTTGTTGATCCAACATTCCTTTCAACGTGAAGATGCTACTTTGGTTCATTCCTCCATGAGGCCTGTGTCTCTGTGTAAATCTCAACTCCATCTCCCTCCATCCTCCTCGTTGCGTCGTGCTTTGGTGCAGGATGCTGGGGATGTTAAAACAGATGGCTTCGCTGGGCCCCTCATGTTGGGGCCAATCTCTATCAGGCAGGGGGGGGCTGACAGAATAAGGCCATGGGGAAGTGAGACATGCCCGTCTACCAGGTCCTCTGGGGACTCGGTGCACCGCGCTGCCACCTGGCTCGCCGAGGCTAAAAGTTCTTCCTCACTCCTGAGCGAGTGATGCTGTTTCCACATGTCCCGCATGTCTGAGAGCTAAAGCGTGAGGGAGAGGAAGACAGGGAGCGGTTGAATAAAGCAGCGATGACAGGAGCCACCGCTTCAGAAACAAGCAGCATTCAACTGAGAAGACCTAAGCCAACTGGAAGTATTTCTCTATCACATTTGTGTGGCGTGACCACGGCCAAGTGCAAAACCTCATTGTGCATTGAAACGATTGTTTCCTGCTTCGTTCGTACTTCCTTTAATGTTTGTGGGCTGCCTGTCGGTGCCCTCTGTATTGTGCAGGGATCTATGTGCGGTTCACAGGCAGCTGTAATGGAAACCTGGCAGGGTTTGACCTCAAGCTTTTTCTTGATTCTAATTCATGTGCTCATATCATTCATGGCTGCGCAGCACAGCGCCTGCCTCTGGGGCTCCAGGCATTTACTGTATCAGGCTGAGGGTCTGTGCTTGCATCGGCGCAGGACCCAACTATGAGAGACGCCAACAAGACAGGCCCATTTTGAGATTCATCCCTTTTATTTTACTTCCATTATATGTTTTGGAAAAGAAGAGAAACACCCAAAATGAACACGTACACAAGTTAGACGATGTTGCATGTTCAGAAATTGTCTTTCTAAGCAACTGGGGAGGTTTCATGGTGGGATCTCTAGTTGTTTACTCTGTTCACCTACTCTATGTGCAGTTTTTTAAAATGTCTTCAAATTTCAATCTCGGTATAATGTATACAACATTATTTTTCAAAAACATGGCATGAATAGATTAAAAAAGAAATCTTACTAAAAAAAATCTTAATGTAAGATATCAGCAGGGGAAGCTACATGGTGAAAACTGTTATTTAAATTGTTTTTTCCCCATTCACCTGCAGTCGATGAAACGACTCTTTCTGTCCTCGTTACGCACAGTCTCTCTCTCTCTCTCTTTCTGTGTGTCTCAATCTCGTTCGCCCCGTCTCCCCCTCCTCCTCCTCTCTCCCTGAAGGTTGCTCAATCAGACAACAACGTGACGTTGTCAAAAGACATTTCAATTTGGCGACCCTCCCTCGGGTTTGGGCAAATTACCACTTCAAAAGGCTGCCGGTCCCCAGGTCGCTCCCAGTGGGGTCGGCCCAGTACGCTCTCTCCCTCTCTCTTTCTCAACCGGCTGCTCAGCAATGCTGATGAGGGCCCGGACCCCCTCGAGCATGCTTGTTCCTCCGTACTAAACAAAACTCTCGCCACAAGCAACGGGATCACACTTCATTATTCGGCATGAAGAGCATAATGTATTTTATTCAAGTGAGGTGGAAAGATTGGGTAGTGTTTCAACTGGATAAAGGAGAATGGGGAAATTTGTTGTTGTGATTTCTTTTATGAAGTTGCGGTGGAACACACAGGAACGTTTAGGCTAAATACGGGTTACGTTTTGGTTGAAATTATATATTCTTTTCATTAATAATTACATTGTGTAGCCTCTGCAAATGACTGGGTGACTAGATATGCTTGCAAAAGGTAGATACAGGTCGCCGGTTAAAGCAACTTTCTGCTAATGTCTCGCTAAGACGTTTATAAAAAAGCGTTTTTTTTTTATAAAGTTTGTTGGTTTGATTTCCTCGAAATTCTCCCCGTGTCTCCCTGTGACCATGATTTCTTTAATAGGATTGATACAACCCTTGTGTCCGTATGATGAACATGAAGCTGGTAGAAGCATCGGGTTGGGTTAGCTTAGCTTAGCTTAGCTTAGCGTAAAGACCAGATCTTTATGTCGCTTAACAAACACGGTATTTTGTTTAGCTTGTATTTACTGGTATTCACTACGTTACTTTTGGACTGAGTCAGGCCGGCGGTTTCCCCAGACGGCTATTACGCTAAAGCCAAGTTAACCAGCTTTATTATCAGTATGTAGACATGTGTTCAACTTTACCTTATCCAGCATGTTACTTTTGTAATTGAGTGCTGCAGTGAGGAGTTCAGAGAAAGTATTTGGGTTTAGATACCTGAAACAAAGTCAGCAATACACCAGTAAACACCTCCGTGTTTACACTTGTTAAAAACGGCGGTTGCTAACAAGTCGCTAAGCTACATTAGCTTTTTGCTTGTAATGATTGTCTTCATGCTTCAAAAAGTGTTTTTGGGAAGAGTATCCTGAAGAAAATATGTCGGTATCATTTGAAAAACATTGGAAAAGTCCCAATTTTGTTTTGTGAAGGGAACCAGTAAGAACGCTTAATTCCCGGTTCGGACTTCAGTCTTGTAGCAGTGTAGCTCACACAATTATTTCTGTCAACGCGCAGCATCAAATTGATGTGCAGACCAAAGACAAAACAAGCATTTAGATTTAAAGAAAACAGCAAAACATTCTAAACAGAAAGTGAGCTAAATCAAATCACCGCCAAATTTTAAACATTTTTTTAAAAATATTGATGCATTTCTGAGGGGAAAGATGTTGCTCCATTTTTTCCTCCTGGAAATGCGTCTTTTTTTGAGATTGACAACTTTTTTCTCGCGCTGCTCTGAAAAGTCACATACCAAAGTGTTGATCATCAAACCTCTTTCACAGC